TGTAGATGGCTTTGTAAATTTCAAGCCTGCGTTATGCATATTTTAATGAAGAATGAACTATGAATCCTGGAGAAAGCTGTCGTTCAGTCTTGTAGCACGTCCAGATGTGCACCTGGTCCTTTATCTGTCTCACATGAAGAGCTTCTGGGTATTTCCCTGACATCATCTTGTTAATGAATCAAGACACAGTAAGTTGTATATTGTCAAAAGAGTTGAGTTGTAGCTATGGTAACGTGGCAAAATAGCTTTAAAAAGGAAAATATACCCCAAGTCTTACTGCTGAAATGTGAACATTGTGTTCCTCTTTTAATTTACTGTTGTTTTGGAACCTAGCTGTTTATGCACTGCTTTCACCTTCTGTTGCTTGTCCAAGTGCCAAGTTCTTTCCCAAAGGTGTTCAGTGACTAATGCTTTGGTTACAAGCCAGAATATTTTATAAATGTCTATTTCTACACAGCTCTTCTACAAGTGTTAATTAAACTTTAATATGTATCTGAAGTTTATTCTTAAACATTTCTATGTGCCTTTACTTATAACATGATGGAACAGTGGGAGGAATGTAGGATGGCTTTATCCCCACACATTTTTTTTTCTTTCCTGTTTAACATGTGTCACCAAACATGTAATTATCTAATCCAAAGGTTTACTGCATAGAAATGAGTAAATTACAACCATTCTCTAAGATGTCAAGATGGTGTACAATCAATCGAACTCCACCTTAAAATAATATTGTGCTTGTTGCTTTATTAGTTATTACACATCCTCCTGGTATCATCTAACTTTTCAAATCCAATGAGCAGAAACCAGAGGTGATAGTACCACAGAAGGTATACTTCATCTTTCTCTATTTTTGGTGCAGTAAGGAGTTATAAGATCTAAGCTATCCCTTTCTCTGATACTGATAGGAATGTGAGGATAATGACTGTTATGCCATTCAAATAATGGAGCTTGTGTTAGAATAGTATAGACTGGATGTTGATTAAGTCCAGTAAGAATGTGTTGTGTATTCTTTTCAAACTATACTCAATCAGATTATCCTATAACAGAAACCAATACACTTTTTATTTGAAAGAACTGATTGTAAATTTTAGCTTTTATAGGACAGAGGTCTGTATGAAAACTCAACTCTATTATCTCTTCCACTGTAGACCGAAATAGAACATGGCTGTGTTCTGATAAAACTTTAGTTATAAATACAGGCAGACACATGAAAAAGACTGTGGACAATGTTTTGTGGATCAGTTCTCTGTAATATTGTGTTTTTATTTGGAAATGCTGCAGTATGTCTTTATCTTCTTATTGTATAAAAAAGTGCCTAATAGTATATTTTATTCTTGAAATATATTTTATTAACTATCTTAAGCTATAAGATAGACAATAGATTTTAAGAAATTAATCCTTGTGTAGCAAACCATAAGAATCTACTCCTGGAAAGATATACATATATGGATGCATGTAGTTAAAATGATATAGATACAATAGATACATATTTACCAAAAGACTCACAACTGCATGTATCATTGTAGATTATACTCACATTTTAAATAAAAGCCATACACAGGAGATACTCAAGGATGAAATATCCTATGATCACATTTGAGTATGAAATTAGGCAAAACCAACTTATATATTAAGAAATCAACGAGTTGAGGCAACGACTAGAAGAAATGGGGTTTTCTGTGGCGCTGATGATATTTTTTCTTGATCTAAGTACGTGAATTATGCATGTAGTCAGTTTATTAAAATCATCGAGCTGTGTACATAGCATGTTTGCTTTCTCTACACAAGCTATACTTTGATTTCTATATATAATGGAAAAACCATGTTGACAGGAGGAATTAATAACTATAAGGTGGACTATACAATTTCTTAGAACTATATATTTTTTAAAAAGTTGGGATAGTCAAAATTTTTCATTTTGTGTACACATTGTGCGGTTCTAAAATCTAATGGTTTCTAAGAAGCCACATGCCTTGCAGTGGTGATGTTTTTTCCATGACTCTGTGATAATGGCATTACAAGCCACTGCAACAAGTGTATCACCACTAAAATATTACATTGTGAGTGGGGGTAGCTTAAAAATCATATGAATGTGGTAGAGCTATGTATTTCTGGTAATGAAATATTAGAATATGAATATTAGGTAAACATAGTTATAAAGCTATAATTTGTCAGAATTTATACTGTTGATTTCATGAACTTGGAGCTAGCAAAATTTTCCTAGTAATTTCTTGCATTTTATTTTATTTATATGTTCATTAGGTATAAACCAAACCACTTTATGTTTGATCCATATACACACATAGGTACCAACATCTTGGACACCAACTCTTGCTAGGCTCTCAGAAAACCATTATAGTACTTATCTAGTATCTTCCCTGCAGTGCTGAGAGAAGCCATGTAAGACCATGTAAGAAAATATCGCGTTGCAGGGACTCCTTGTGTGCGTTAGGGAGGGAGAAGCCAGCACCTGCTCTGCTTAGGGGAAAAACAGTGCAACACAGAGGACATGAGTGAGTAGACTAAGAATTACTGAAGCTTCAACTCAGCCTCCAGGATCCAGTACAAGGTAGTCAGATGCATGGAGAGATGATGTCAAAAGCAGGTGGGATAGCTTAAAGTGACACACAGAATATCCTGGTGTGTTTAGACACCTGTTTGTAGGTAAGCATGAGGAATGAATCAAGCAGTGAGTCAAGGATCAGCTCTCTTCGAGAGCCTTGGATGCTGCGCTAAGCCACTGAATACCTGCAAGACACTGAAGGGAGCTAAAAAGGCATGCGGCACCTTGCATGCATTCTTGAAAACAATCCTGTGGTGGTATGAAGACTGGATTGCAGGACAGGAGAAGACTTCAGGCAGAAAATCTAAGTGGTTGTAATCCAAGTTAGCTAGGTTCAATTATAAAACATGTCACACTATTTTAGACATTGTTGGAATAACCAATCCAAATAGTCCAAATAGAAAAGCAAACAATAATCTCTTTACTACCTTCAGATATAAGTTATTCCTCCAGAGTGCTTGGTTTGTAATGTTTCCTATGTGTTTACAATCCCTGTTTATATTTATTCACTAATCTGTCATTGTCTTCTATAAAACAGAAATGAAGTCTTTTATTAGGGCACAATGAACATAGCACCTGATCTGTTGTACAGGAACTTTTGATTATAACCATTTATGCATGTGTAGGTAATGCTTAAAAGCAGAACGTTTGAGGCATGTTAAATTCTATGCTGTCTATCCCTTTTCTTCAATCTATAAATATTAAACATCCATTTTATGTTTAATATGTCCAGTAAGAGTTTATTCAAACACAAATGGTCCAGTAAAATATTGATCATAATGGCACCATTTAGCATTATTAAAGAAACTTGTAGAATTCTAAAAGTTTAGATGAGCACTTTGCTTGACGGTTATGACTATCAGCTGATATTTCACTGTGGGTCACATTTTTCTGTAGTTGGAACTAATTTTTCTAAATTTTCAAGACTTACTGTCTTCAGGGAAAATTTACCAAATCCTAACATTCTATAACTGAGATTCCTTGGTTTTAACTATCATAACCCTCCCTTGGGAAAACAATATGGTCTATAAAGAAATTTAGAATTTCCTTATGGTGTTAGAACATTCTAACAGTAGCCTATGAATAAGTTCTTAAAGCTTCAAATCCATCATACTTATATGCTCTGAGAATTTCATGGGGTGTGCATACCCCATATCGTCAATGAATAGTTGTTAGTCCTGATGGGGTAAGCCAAGTTTTTGAAATAAAGAGTGTCACCTCCTATCCAATGAGTGGATCTCAGTGCCAGGACTTGAATTGACTCCTACAACTGGTTTTGCAGCACCCTTCTCTTAACAGTTTCTAGGATAGTGTAGTATTTTTCTGCCGTCCCAAGAGTTTTGTCTTATTGATGCAGGGACAGAGAATGCTCATCTCCATGTTCAGTATCCAAATGGCTAACACACCTGAGCCAGTCCAAAGCCAGGAACTCAAGCTAGCTTTCCTGTATGAGTAGCAGAAACCAAGTATTTGAACCATCACTTGCCACTATCCTGTTTGTGCATTGTCAGGAAGCTAGAATAGGAAACAGAGCCGGGGCTCTGATATGGATCACAGGAATCTTAACAGAAGTCTTAAATGTCAGGCCAAATGCCTGTAGCCTGCAATTCCATTTTTAGTTTGGCATATTTATTGGTATCGGTGGCTAACCAACATGCCTTAGGTTTTAGTGCCACCACTCACTGGGAATGTTAGCTTTCACTTCCTTACTTTGGCTAAAATTTTCATCTTCATTCTCCTTCTCTCCCAGTTCCCCCATTTGCACCCTTTGGATTGGGCAGAAACTAGCACCATGCCTATTCAAGCAATGGAAGGAAATACATTTTTTCAAGATTTATTTCAAAGGCAAATTTAGAAATAGAAGGAGGGAAAGAAAGATCTTCCATCTGCTGGTTCATTCACATTCCCCAAATAGCTAAAGCAGCCAGGGCTGGGCCAGGCTGAAACTGGGAACCAGATGCTTCATGGTGGTCTCCCTGCTTTCCCAGGTATATTAACCGGGAGCTGGATCAGAGGGGGAGCAGTCAGGACCTAATCTGGTGTTCAAAAGGGATGCCAGCATCACAGCTGGTAGCTAAACCTTATGATGCTGGCCTGGAAGCAGATGTTTAAAAAGTGCTTTTCCCTGTGAAATAATGAGGAAAATGTCAAAAATTGCAGAAGGTAAACCAGAAAAGAAGGAAAACAACAAAGGTGATGTGGTTATAATTAATGAAAAAGCCAAATTTGTTTTAGTTAATAGTTGACTGGATTTATCTGAAATATGAGAAACCCAAGTTCTTTTTAATATGGACTTAAATCGCTTGCATAAGCTCGTTTCTACAGGGGCATTTCTGAGTTAATATTTTATGTCAAAAAGATACACATACATATGAAGTTGGAAGTTTTTTCTTCTTAAAGAGGTAAATATTAAATGTTACTCTTGAACTGTTTTTAGGCCACATGAAAATAAGACCTACCTTGCTGTTGGGAGCATGAAGACATTAATGTTGAATGTGTCATTGTTTAATGCTGGAGATGATGCTTATGGGACAACCCTGCACATCCACCTGCCCGTGGGACTGTACTTCATTAGGATTTTAGACCTGGTGAGTGCTGTAAGCATGCTAGTGTGATACTGTGGAGTATTTTACTTCAGTTTTGAAAGAGTAAATGATAGAATTCACTTCACTGATTTGGGATATAAATGACTGGATCTGAGTCTGATTTAGGTTAATCAGGCTCCTTGTGCTGCTCAAATCGGCAAGTTCCCTGGGGACCTAGTTGCCAAGGCAGCTGGTTCTTACTTCCCAGGGCCAGGAGGAGAGAATGGGGGGTGGGGGACAGGGATGGAGGGTATCACCTTTTTACCGCCACAGGCTGGTGGTGTGACATGCTGGGGTCTTTGCAATAGTGTTTGTCCATGCCGGCCTGCCACTCACTGCTCTTCATTTTAAGTTCACATTCACATCTTTCCTCCTATAAGACTTGCAGCACATCGAAACCAGGAATTTTCCACAAGTTCCAACATCTTGAACTGAGGCCAGGATTGAGACAATCGCTTTTGCTAACAAGGGTATGGTGCAGTTGGAGGCCTTTTCTTACTTGTGTGCCTCAGCTAGGAGGTGTCAGGTTCATTAGCAGGATCATTACAAGGTTGACTTGAGAAAAGTTTCAGTATATGTTCGCACATTGACTCTGCTCTGGTATGGGGTTCACCTCTTCACACTGAGGGCATTTGAGAGAGGACTTTGGCCTCTGACAAATTTAACCCCTTTCTCGGGGGATATCAGGAGCCTGTACAAGGAAGTAAGGGGGGTATTCAAGCAATATGTTTCTAAAACATATCAATTGTGATTAGTTATTGTAATTACATGCCTCAAACACAGTCTTATGAGACTGAAGAGGGCCAAGGAAATATTTTGCTGTTCCTTGCCTCATGATTTTTCAAGGAATTAGACTTTGCAAGATGAAAGAAAAGCAAAAGTAAAGGAAGTTTTTATGTAGAATGTCTAGGAATGTTAGGATATACACATATCTTCACATATTATTTATTTATGTCTGTTTTCCCTAAAAGTAAACCGAGTTCTTTTCTAGGAGAGTAAATTCTTCTGGAATGATCTTCTGTTTAAAAACCATCCTTTTAAATGTAAGTTACAAACTAATTCTTCGATTAAAAAACAAACTAAGGGTTTTTTTGTTTGTTTACTTTTAGGAAGAAAAACAAATAAACTGTGAAGTCACAGAAAGTTCCGGCCTAGTAAAACTTGACTGCAGCGTTGGTTATATATATGTAGATCATCTGTCCAGGGTAAGTGGGGAGCAGTTGAGGTTTTGGTTTGCTAGCTGGGTGTATTTTATTCTATTCTCCACTCTTTTCATGTTGCATGCAAAAGTATAATTTTTTGTGACTTGGAGTACATAGTTACATGATGAAATGAAAGCTAAACCAATTGGGCTTGAAATCTTTGAGCTTTATATTCTTGGCAGTGTTTGCTATTTGAAAAAAGTGGGGTGGGGGGGGGGACACATGCATATGCCAAGACAGGCACGTGAATGTGTCAGTCAGAATCCTGCTCCTCTCCTCGCCCTTCCTCCACACCCTCCCACTCCAAGCCAGGAGCTTCTATCTGCCAGGCATGTTACCTCTGCTCTACAAAAAGGTGTGTTTTGGCAAGAGTCCTCACTCGAGTTGTGAAAGCATTTCTCATGTTGACAGCCTGGTGCTGCCTGTCTTCACACCCGGAATTGGCTTTGTCTCGAAATGCTGCTTGTGTTATGCCATGGCTAACTGTGTTTTTCCTGCCAGAAGAAGACGACCATGTCCTGTAGGGTCATTTCATCCTACGTTCATTCCAGCGAACATAAGCTATTAAGAAAAACTAACATTTACATTATAAAATTGTATTGTCGGCGATTTAAAAATAGAGCTTTCTGTCTGTGTGTTACAGATGGAGATCAGCTTCCTCCTAGATGTGAGCTCGCTCAGCAGGGCAGAAGAGGATGTCAACATCTCAGTGCATGCCACATGGTACATTTCACTGTGGAATAAAATAATTGTACTAGAGGAAATGCGGTCCTGTGGCTGTGGGGGTAGGGCCTTTAAGAACAGCAGAGCTGTGTTTTTGCATCATTTACAATGAAGAATCAGAAGCAAAACACAGCAGACCCAATTCTATTCTATCTAGCATGTAAAGCAAATGACAAACGTAAACAATGACAGATTCTTGTTAACCCTGTCCTAATGATTTCTTTCTAAAATATCCACTCTTATTCCTCCTCTCTAGAAAGTGCTATATAAACTAACCTCTAAGAACGTTTGATATCCACAGGCTATAATAAGTTTTCTCTCCAAAGATGATCCCTCTGCCTGATTTCTAACAGAATTTTATTCTTTTCTTTTTTGTAGTAAAAATGAAGGGGAAACGGACACTTTAAAGCAAAACAAAGTGACTTTAGTAATACCTCTTAGGTATGAAGTTATGCTAACTGCTCATGGGTAAGTAGGTAAAAGGCCCTCCATAAATTTTAGAGTTCATTGTCAGTTCTGTTACTGCCTACATTAATGACAAAGCCATATTTAATATAAAATAAAAAGGGTACTGTTTCTAACCTCTTAGCAGTTGCCTCACTCTTGCAGTTCCTAGCTTAGTTGTTCAATATTGTAAGCCAGTCTACAATTGTCACCAATGCAGTAGCCAATTTCTTAACTGGAGGAATCTAAGTAAGCTTGTACCAGGCACTGCTCAGCCTTTAAGTTGTAGGTGGTGCAAAGCAAGACCTCCCAGGGTTAGGGAGTACCTGGTGTGTGTATAGCAGTGTGAAGCTAAAAGACGTGGCCTTGGCCATATCATTGCTTTCCAGAACCTACATCTACCTAAGTTGCAAATGGACTGAGAGGTGAGAGAGATGTTTCCAGGGCATGTGTGTTCCATTCTTACAGGCTTCGAGATGGCAGAGTTCATGGACTACAGCTTTGTTGCCAACACATTGCTTTCTTATAATGCTAGAGGGGCGCTAAGTGGAGAATTGAAGGAGATGATCTTTTAATTATTTCAATGGAATATATTTAAGCTAGTAGTTTTTGTTTTAAAATTCATTTGTATAGCACTTGATAAGACTCAGAACCAGATTGGTGAGGCTTCCTTACTGTTCTCTATGTAAACCGTTTATACAACTATAAGCCTAAAATATCATCCTCTGAAAGTTATGGAGTTATCAGGTTCGTGAGATAAGTAGAGATAAAAAGGAGGCCATTCAGAATGTAGGAACTCACTTCAATAGGAAAAGGCAGTTGATTGCCTGTGTTCTGGCTCTCAATGGTTTACATTGCCAGCCCTCATACATTGGCTAATGCCTGGTGCCCTCATGCCCCACTGCCCCCCACCCCAGTATTCATATCACCTTATTGTGGGCAAGCAGTGTTCTCTTCTTCTTAACTGCCTAAATTACACCTGAATATTTCTAATTCCATTCTTGTTTAATGAGTTTCTCATTTGGTACTGCTAAATATGAGAAACTAGTGGAGTAGGAATTTCCCTGAGGAAAACATTCATTTCTGATCGTGCATATTAGAATACTTCTAAACAAATGTTCATGGGGAATAGATGGGATTTAAAGGTAAGTAGAATCTCATATTCTGAGAAAGTCTCTTGAGTTTCCAAATATTTTAATGACTGATCTTTTAAAAAAAAAGATTTATGTATTTATCTGTTTGAAAGGCAGAGTTAGAGGAGGAAAGTTAGAGTGATTTTCCATCTACTCTTACTCCGCAGATGCCCTCAGCAGCTGGAGTAGGCTAGTTGGAAAGCAAGAACCTAGAACTCCATCCAAGTGGGTGTCAGTAGCCCAAGCACTTAGGTCATCTTCCTCTTTCCCAAGTGCATTACCAAGGAGCTGGATTGGAAATGGAGCAGTTGGGATTTGAAATGGAACATCAGCATTATAGCTGGCAGTGTAACCCATTGTACCACAACACTGGCCACAAACTTTTTTCAATTTTTTCCACAAACTTCTTAAGGTGTTCTGTATGGCTAATCAAACTTGTATCCTAGCAAAAGATATATCAACTTGAATTGTTCTCCAGTTTTATGATTCTTTACAAATAACATGCAGGGACTGGGGAATGGAAAGAAGTAACTTAGAAATGGGTTAGATAATTCTGAAGACATAAGAGTCCTAAAGAAAAGCTAAATATTGATCTCATCTTTGTCAGATTTGCATAGCTCATTGAAGGGATCTGCAAAATAAACAAGGCAAGTTGGGTAAGATATAAAGGAGTTATCATTGAGAACAGATGGTTGTGAGCCAGGTCATGGCAAATGTTCCCCAAATTGCATTTTTAAAATTTTCAGGTTAAAAACAAAGTATTGCATGGTAATGCTAAAAAAAATGCTATAATTTAAAAATGGGCACTGTTAATATCACCTCATTAGATAAGCTAGGTAATCACATTTCTGTGTGTGTTTTAACCAGGTTTGTCAACCCAACTTCATTTGTGTATGGTTCAAGTGAAGAAAATGAGCATGAAACATGCATGACTGAGAAAATGAACCTCACATTCCACGTAAGTGAACTGGCTTATGGTGATGTTTGGGACAACCAGAAAGGATGTTGTCATTGCATTGTTTCCCAGGGACATCTTACACCTGCAGCATCCCTCAGCCTCAGTGACCCCTGTCTGGAAAGGGCTGTTGCCCTGGACTGCAAATGTTTTCCTCTCCAGCTCTTCTGCTTCTGCTCCCATCTGCCTTGCCTTTCCCAACAGGATAAGTGGCAAAGAGCTTCCAGGAACAGGGACAAAAAAGAGGCAAAATTGAGTGTTCAGCTGAATCTGATAGAGAAGTACACAGAAAATAGGATAGACCAAGGGAAACAATTTTTAAGCCCGTGAATTCTTATCTTAATTTTTGAGACAGTTACAGAGAGAGGAGGAAAGAATGTTCCAGCTGCTAATTCCCTCCTCAAAAGGCCACAACAGCCATGGCAAAGCCAGGAGCTTCATCTGAATCTCCCAAGTGGGTGCAGGGGCCCAAACACTTGATCCATTTTCTGCTGCATTCTCAGGCACTACAGCAGAGAGCTGGATTGAAAGTGAAGCAGTCAGGACTCCACACAGAGCCCATGTGGGATGCCAGCATCACAGACAGAAGCTTAGCATGCTACATCAGAATACTTGCGCCCTAGTTCTCATTCAAACTTTGTAAAAGCCCAAACGTTGCCAAGTAAAGAAAGTGTGTGTTTTAAATGGTGGTTTGTCCTGTGATAAAGTAAAACAAACCAAGTTGAATGTCACAAAGTCTACTAACTTACGGTTTAGTAATTAGCTAATATGTTTTAATTAATGAACCATGGCATGACTGGGGTTGCAGAAATTTATATCGCTTAGTAAAGTCTGTGTATGTGTTCTTGGAGGCTTAGATGTTATTAGGTGAACTGGCTTGGTTCATAATAAGTAACTTACACTGCATAGGACTGGTATATGGAAGATGTTGTCAGTAGTACTGGGCACCGTTAGGTACAATTAGGAAACTGCGCTATTTCCCTCTGTATCTGCCCTGTACTTCCCTGCTGTAGCACCCTTTCTATGACATCCAGAAGATCATTGCAAGTTTGCCCATCATCCTTTTCCATTCAGGTTCTGTGGTATATGCCTTTCTGGACTCACTATATTGGTTTTATGCTTAAGAACTTGGGATAAATTCTGCCTGATCCTCTTTTTCAGAGCTGTACAGTATACAAGTTTATCAACACTAACAAAATATCCCCTGTGCATTTTAAAAAAGAGGCTAAGTATTTCTCATTCAGAATGCTTGGGAGTAAAAATATGTGTTTCTCATTTTGAAGGGTTTCAAAATCCAAAAACATAATTCGTGCCCAAATACTTGTTAAACCAACATGACTCCTTTTAAATGAGAGGTGCTCAACCTGTGTTACTAGAATTCGGTGATACTCTGTTTTTTGAAGAGTTTGAAACTATCTGGTTGATGTGGAGGGATTGTAACACAAAGGATTTGGAAGTCAAAACTTTTGAAACTTTGTAACTTTCATCTTGGGAACATTACAAAAATTTTTCTTTGCTGGTAAATATTAGCCTATTTCTCAGGAGAGTTAAGAAGACCACTGCTATTTTAAGAATATATAATGAATATTGCTTGATGTATCATTCTTGAGGCTCTTCTAGAAGAAACTAACCATGCCAAAAAGGAATACAGCTTGTGAACAGAATTAAAAATTATGGCACTTTTAAAATTCTGACTTATGGGTGTTTTGCCTCCACTGTTCGGCTGTCAACTACAAAATTCCAACATTACAAATGTTTTCAGGAGTGCCATGGGTCACCTACAAGCTCAGTGAATTCTGACCTCATATTTATTATGAAAATCACTGAAAACTGCTTTTTTTCAACCTTGCCTTACCAGGTTATTAATACTGGCATTGGCGTGGCTCCAAATGTTAGCATGGAAATAATGGTACCGAATTCTTTTATACCTCAAACCAATAAGCTGTTCAACATTTTGGATGTGCAGGTAAAAAAAAAAAGTGTTCCTCTTATGAGACCTTCATTAAGTGTGCCTGAACTATTAAAAGAAACGCAAACCATGTTGCAAAATCTTGCAAGCATGGAGATTTCTCTTAAATCAGTTATTGGAAGCTATGCAGTCATTAAGCACTTACTGAATATACATTGTAGAAATACAGTGGGACTGTATTCGGTATTTGACATATGCAATAACAGAACTATGTCCCTCTATCTGTATTGTATACTTTTAGGATACATTAAAATGTGACATACATGCATGGCAGTAGCTCCCCATAAATCTTGAATCTGCTATTAGAAGATGACAATTACAGGTTTTGAAAATGAAGCAATGTGGAAACCATTTAAGAAGTGATAGTTTTGTGTTCATTACATCAGGCTTGCTTTTGTCTCCTTGAAACCAAGGGGGTTTCTTGCCCACAAGAAATGTATGAAGGAGGGCTGAGCAATAGTTTCAATATTTTATATGAATATTAAATTTGTTGCATATGGTTTAACTTATTCATGCCAATGTTCAACTTTTCTTAATATTTCCACAAAGAGGCTCATTTTTGAGCCTAGGAGATATATTCAAATCCTCGATAACTTTGCTGCATTTCTGTTTTGGCTGCAGAGAGTTAGTCTATTTCCAATAAACCTTTCGAAGAATTTGCACAGTGGAACAACTTTATTTGATGTGTCTTATGCCTTAAAAGAAATGCAATCTATCCTTGATAGATTTTAGAAAAGATAAGCAATTGGGACTTTTAAAACCATGCTTTGTGTGTGCTTCCTCATACTGAAAGATTTCTCTTACCATCTTTATAGCCCACTACTGGAGAATGCTACTTTGAAACCTATCCAAGGGAGTGTGCATTAGAACAGGCAAAGGGTGCCGTGGAGACCTTGAAAGGCATATTCAAGTTCTTGTCAAAGACGGACAAGAGGCTGTTGGTAAGTTTGTTGTTTCCATTGTACTTTGGAACAGAAAAGTAGTGAGACACTTAAGACCACAAGTCAATAGATTGAAGTTGTAGAGGATGGGTGGGAGGGATACAGTGACGGGCGTTTCTCTTCAGTGTTAGCAGTTATGATTGGAGGCTTAACTGAGTCAGGCTTAAATCGAAGGTCTCAAACGTTCATGAAAAACACATCTTATAAGAAAACAGATGCATTTATTTAGAAGTTTATTTTTACATATGAAAGTAATTCTAACAAATGTTCTTTAACAACTATCATGCAGAATGCCTAGGCGTTCACCTGGGCAGCATGAATCAATTTTCATTCCATCTATAAATTTGTTAAGATGTGAAATGAGGGAAGCAATCAGCACCTTCAAATGATCCAAGTTCTCCTATAACCCAGAATATGTAACCTAGCAAAACACTAATTAGGAATCTTTTAAATTCTATCCTAGAAGGTTAAGTTTGTAAGAATGATGAGAACACATGCTCCAGTTTACTTTGTTTCAATTATGATTTTCAAAATAAACATTTGTTTTGTTGAAAGCAAGATATTTAAATGCCACTAAGGAAAGCAGATGTTTAATTCCATGCTTCCACAATTTTATAAATGCCACTCAAGATTCAATGTAGAATGCTGTTTAAGTGTTGGAAATTCTCACATAACATATGTATTTCTTTAAGTTTTGCATAAAAGCAGATCCACACTGTTTAAGTGTTTTGTGTAATTTTGGGAGAATGGACAGTGGAAAGGAAGCCAGTGTTCACATTCAGTTGGAAGGCCGACCATCTATTTTAGAAATGGTAAGTCTAAGACGTGTTAACGACTTTGATTTGTTAATTCATGCCTTTTATAGAGATTAGTTGGTATGTAATCATTTGACAAATAAGCTATGAATGAAATTTTGTTGTGAAACTCAAATTCTATTTATAGATCTCAGCTATCTACATGTACCAAGGGTGTGACTTGAGTAATTCATGATAGTTAAGATTGAAACAGACTATAGAATATAAGTAGGTTTATTTGTCATTATTCAACCTAGCTTCTAATTCCATGCACTTTGCGGCAAAGGACAGAATTTTATATTACTTGAATAGTATTCTACGATGCACATATATTTTCTTTATCCTAATTTAGTCTGATGAAGAATACCTTGATGGGTTCTCTATTTTGGATGATTTTACATGTTTTGGCTATATATACCCAGCTCTGCGATTGCTGGACCATATGGCACTTGTATTTAAACTTTGAGGCAATCTCCATAGTGTTCTGTTTAGTGGCTGCACTAGTTTAACAGTTGCCTTGCTCTACCATCTCTTCCATTCTGACTCTGGGTGAGGTGTTCTGCTTCATTGTGGTTTCAATTTACAGTGCCCTCATGACTGCTGATGCAGAGCATTTTCTTCCCACTGATTTGTTGGACATTTGTAGAGCTGTCTAGTCAGGTCCTTTGCCCATGCCTTAACTGATGGTTTTTCGATTGTTGATGTTTGAGTTGCTGACACATTGCTACAACATTATGCTTTGATAAGTAGATTGCAGTTACAGTCCTCCCCCACTGCTGAGTGTCTCTCCAGTTCCTGTCTTTGTGATTTCTTCAGCCTTATTTGTATAGATCTGTTCCCTGATACTAACCAAGAAACCATACCACTGTCTTGGATTACTTTCTCTAACAACTTTATGATTGATGCATCCTCAGCTGGTTTTTGTCTGTGGTGAGAGTCCGGGATCTCATTCTTCTAAAGACGAGGGTCCAGTCTTACCAGCACCATTCCCTGAAAAGACTACCCTTTCTCAAACATGTTCCACATACCTCTTTTGAAAATTCATTTGAAAAACAGTTCTGCCTCATATTAACAATAGCAAAGATATGGAAGGAACCAAGATGGTTTCTACAAGTGCTTAGTACGGCCAAGAAATTTGAAGGGGAGGGTTTGAGATTATCATATGGCAGTCATGAGAAAAATCCACTGTAAAAGCAACTACAGTTTTTAGTTTCAACTGTGCTAGAAATTAAAGTGACTTGCTATATGCACTTGCATCTCCTAAAATCCTTCCTGCTAAGTATCATGTTCTCTGGATCTAGATGAAACTCTTATGTGAGCTTTTATACAGTATTTATGAAATTTGGGGCCCATAGGATTCAGGCAAAATAATCTATTCTTTTTCCTGCCCCCCTCAATGTGTTTATTAATAAATCCTAAGTGTTCTATCTACAGATCTCCAACTTTCATTGAATCTGTATTACAAAGTTCCTTCAGTAAATGGTAAATCTACAAAAGTTAAGGGAGTATTTAAGGCTAAAATTTATTTAATATTCAAGAGACATTATGTCGGTAACTTATGAGATGTTTAATAATTATCTGTAAAGTAGCCATACTCAATAAGTTTCAAAGAAATGATGCCACATTTGTTAATACCAAGAGCATCTCTTCAAGCCCAAGCAATCTTTGCCTGGCACTTCAAGGCAAAAGGAATTTGGAAAGAAACAGTAAAAACTTCCCTAAGGCGTGTAAAGCTCTTTTGGATTTAGTTCACAAGTCATTGATTTTTATTTTATTATACAGGATGAGACTTCAGCACTCAAGTTTGAAATAAGAGCCACAGCTTTTCCAGAGCCACATCCAAAAGTTATTGAACTAAACAAGGATGAGAATGTTGCGCATGTAAGATCACCCTTCCACTGTAGGGGGGAAATGTTGGGAGGAACTTCATGATGGGCACATCTGATCACATCATGCAAGGCCATCAATATTTCACTTACTGTTGTCATTTCCTCTCATCTCTGGGACAAAATGACACTGCTCTTGTGGGAAGTGATTTTTGCAGCCATGAAAAGAAAAAAGGATTGATGGAAGGAAGCTTACTGAGTGAAGCATTTGCTAGTAGCCTTTCCTGTGTGGTGTTGGCAGGAGACTGATGGGGACCAGTTCTGACACACAAGACTACAGAGGGGTTTCTGAGAAAATGTCAGCAAATTCCTAAATCGGTGGTTCTTTATTTTTGCTTGATTTGTATAGGTTTTATTAGAAGGACTACATCATCAAAGACCCATACGTCACTTCAATATAGTGGTTATTTCCAGTAGTTTGCTACTTGGACTTCTAGTACTTCTATTGATTTCATATGTCATGTGGAAGGTAAGACTTTAACGTACTTACAATACCATCTTTATTTTTCCAAAGTCACCTTCTGTCTGTCAAATCATCATTCAGCACTGTAATGCTGAATCAGTCCTCGATAACACAATACTAATCTCATTGGTAATACTCAAAGTGTTTCAGATCTAGTAGTATCAATATTTGGGTGAATTTAACATTTAAAAGTCCAGCGTTAATTTGGAGACAAACTAAGGTATGCAAAAATGTGTTGACTTACTTTTATTGGTTACATCTTTCAGAGCTCTCATGATTGGGATTACACAGGCCATCATTTGGGAAATAGTGCTGAGGGGTTAGCTAGTGTTTCAACCTCAGACATCACTAATGATTCTGTAATGGTGTTTTCAGGCTGGCTTCTTTAAGAGACAATACAAATCTATCCTCCAAGAAGAAACTAGAAGAGACAGTTGGAGTTATGTCACCAGCAAAAGCAATAATGACGATTAACTTATTTTGAAAAGACTCTAAAAGGCACTGTTTACAACAAAACATGAATTTGATTCAAGCTTCTTCCTAGTACTTTTCGCTCATGACTTTGTGACATTGTCTTCATGCAACAGGAAACAATATCCAAGCAATGATTGAAAGAAAACTGCAAAAGTGTGAGTATATACAGATAATCTGCCTGCTGTCAAGAAGGTAGAAAAACACTAAAATGTTCAGCTTATTCAAGAAAAGCAAATCCTGGAAGATAAAGTGACTCAATTATCTTCCTTTTAAGGAATTATTAGCCCTATGTGCTTACCTTGATCAGCCCTGCTGGATGGGTAGTGATTCGTCTCAATACATCCCTCCATTAGACTTGTTGGAAACCGTCTAAATCTTTTTAAAGAGTTTATTTCAAAGGATTGTTCTCAATTTTTCTAATTTGTAAGGATTACATCATCAGCAAACTGGTTTCATCTTTACAGACTTATATGTAATATGTCCTGAGAAACTTGTGCCAACAATTCCTTTATTCAGAAGTCTATGGATATCATAGGCCTGAGGAGCAAACTTCAGAATGAACTTAGACACTGATGAGTTTTGCATGGTGACTTCTGGGCAATTCCTGTTTATCAAGCTATGGGTTTTTCCCTGCCGTCTTTCTGTGTACTTGCATTTTAATAATAGCTTAAAATCCAATAGTCTCCTGTGTAGCACAACTTTATCCAAGAGTTCCCAGGAAAATTTTTAAAGTCAGTTTATACTATTCTAATTTATATTCTAAACAAGAGAAATTACTCTTGCACTTTAGCCATTACACACTGATGTCAAAAACATGAAAAAGTTTACCTCAATGATGATTTTAAAGGTTGAAGCTGTGCAAAAGAGGTGGTCAGTATGTTTTGATATTACTTTCTTTTCAAGCGTTTTGATAAGATCTATGAAAGCTTTCTCTATGGAAGTGGATAGACGAAATTCACAGGTAACTGAAAAGCATCAATTTAACTTCTCTATAGTAAATGTGACAGCTCAAGTAGTCTTGAGAGTGATGTTCCACTGGGATTTTAATATGTCTTTTAATACTTTATTTGCAAATGGAAATGTAATATTTATTTCATATATTATAGCTACTGATGACTGTAGAACTTAACTGTATATGTGTTAAAAACAAAAAAGCTGTGGTCAAATTTTAAACATCTGTTAAAAGTAATCAAATTAGAGGGCAAAAATTTCTTTATATGAGGTCCCTGTGACTCACTGGGCCCCTCTTCAGATTTCAAGAGTTATCAACAGAAATCAACTGTTATAATAAAACATGAATGTGTCTTGTACAAAAAGAGCTCTTTCGCGGGAATGAAGTCATGGATGAAACATTTCAGCGTAAAGTGGTTCTTGCATTAAGAGCTATGATTGCTCAGTTACAGGGGACACACAGCCACTAGCTGAACTGCACAGTCTGCAAGCTGTGTTGCCTAATTGCCTTTTGGTAAGTAGTCTTGTCAACATTTTGGAAAAATTCTATTAGCTAGTCCTATGATTTAGAAATCCAGTGTCTCTGCGTTAACTGCCCTGATTATACTGAAAAAGGAGTTAAAAGTATCCCCATGCATCCTGTCTATCAGCCTATAGGAAACTTAATGTCACAATTTATTAAGCACAAATCCTGAAAGGCAAAGAATGCATTATCCAGGCTAAACACTGCTGCCTGCATTCATGAAATGTTTATGCTGAGTTCCAATAAGCAGCTTAAAAACACGATTTGAATTTTTCCATTTTTTAGCTTTAGTAATATCAAAAAATTCTTTTAGAAAAAAATTGCATCAATAGAAAGCATAACCATATTCCCTCATTATAAAAGGAATGTGGAAACTAAACAATTACAATGTAATTTTAGGATCACTCATCTCTTCCATGGTGCTTCCATAAAGACTGATAAGTCCTGGATGCAATCTATAAAGAAAATATGAACAATTTATAATCAGTGCAGTTTTTTATAGAGATGCATTCACATATCAGAATGAGTGGCACACAATGATACATTGCTCAGAAGTTCTCTTCATTGCCTCTGTGAAACAGTTTGCCTACAGAACACCCATCTGGTGCCATTGGAAGTATGCCTTTACCCACGGAGTCATAAATGCTCTGAGAATGTGTTTGCCCCTAAATTGGATGTCAGATATTATTATTTAAGTAAAACTGTATAAAATAAGCAGACTGTTTTTCCCAGACTCAGTATCTGTATAAAGACAGTTTACACAGTACAATAATTTAGCATACCAAAGCAGAAACTTACAACCAAAAGAAAAATACTATAGCTCTACCTAAGAATTGGTAAATACATTTAAATTGGGATTTGGTTTATTGAAAGGGCTCTGATTTATTGATTTTTTTCAATGCAAAGCAACCCGTTGGTTATGTTGAAAAAAAAAAGAGGGCTTTCATTATACTGTGAGTTGTGTGAACAAATCAATATAAATAAAGCAATAAAATCACAATACTTACCTAACATGGACTGTTGATGTAACCCACAATAAATCGCCATCTACATTCCAAGGGAAATGTTCTTCTGAAGCAATTCTACAAGATTTCTCCTCCTCCTCTGTGTTACTTCCACTCGTAGTGTTCTTCGGACAAACTTTTACTTCTTGAACAATGTAAGTCTCAACAAATGGAAAATTGAACTACATAAAATAAATGCAAATATTTGTGTTTCATTTAACTGTTGCCAGGCACATTTCACTATGTCTTTTCTCACAAATATTTACCCACATGCTGACATTCGTAACTTCATAACTCTAAGTTCAGAGATGCTCAGTTTGCTACGAAGGAGGATTCTTTCCTCAAGCTTTCTTGGTTCAGCTAGCTCTAATGGCTGGAATTCCTGTCTTAAGACAGTTCATATGTATGAAAAATTGCCTACTTAATGTTTTCCCAATTGGAATTTAATGCAGAAGAACCTGGGTCAAAACTTATGAGGGTAAACTCAAAAGTACATCCTGAGGAAAAAGCAAATCACTTGTTTCCACACGCGTATTTGCTTGCCTCATCCCCAGTTAAGAATGGGCATATTAAAAAGAATGAAATAACACCATTTGAAACCAAATGCTCCCAACTAGAGACCAGTGAAATAAGTCAATCCCAAAAGGACAAATATCTTATGTTCTAATAACCTTCATGCAAAATATAAGACCAATAGCCCTTTCAGTACTGTTTTTGTTACAATGCATGGGTTTTGATTTTCATTTCTGCAAAATAGTTTCCTTTCTCAGAAAAAACTTTCTTGGAGAAAATTTTCCTTTTTACTTCTTCAATACCACATTGGTCATTCAGTAGCATGTTATTTAACTTAATGGCATTGTAAATTTTTAAATTTTATGTAACTGTAATAGAGACTATTATGTGAAGATACAAATGTATGCATATCTGCTTTCAAATCAAAGATGGGCTCCCAATGAAACTATTAAATATATCTTGACAGTAGAATGCTGGAGTGTCTGCCACTATACTTAAACAGCAGAATGATGGACTTAGGGCTGCATATAAAGGACTATACTATTGTAATAATATAAAGGAAATCAGCCATGGTGGCAGGGCAGGGGGAGGACTTAGGGTAAGGGAAATCCCAGAGCCTATGGAATTGTATCATGTATATTCATATATGTGTGTATATATATATATATGAATGAGCATAAGTTTCAAGATCATCATGTTTTCTTAGCAACCTTTTTAGAATGTTCAAGTTGTATCTTTCATTTGCCTAGTAATGAAATAACTTTCATGGAAATGCATAATAGCTACTTATTAATTTTGAGAAATGGCATTTTTTTGCAAATTAAGCAGACGAAAGTACTCAAAAACTCAAAATCAACATTGTAAAAAGCAATGCAGGACTTCAAAACTGTGCTAAAATCCATGTTAAAGTTTTACTTGAGCTCTTTGAACTACTCTGTCTTCATAGTGCTTTTTCCTTCCTCCATCTAAGCATCAGTGAATAATGTAATTTGTTTTCTCATGTGAGAGACAGAATGAGCGTCTGAACCATCCACTGGTTCACTCTCCAAACACCTGTCACAGCCAAAGACAGGAGACAGAAACTGTACCCACGATGCCTGAATGAATGGCCAGAGTTGGAGGCATCACCTACTGCCTCCCAGAAAGTTCCGACTTGAACTGGAGCCAGAACCCCAACCCAGGCTCTCCTATAGGAGGCTAGCAAGCAAGGAGTGTCTTCACCACTAAACCTCTGCACAAATGTAAAACTTTAGCAGTAAATAGTAGTATTTCTCCAATTTCCTTACTTAACATATGTAAAAACTAAGGCACAGATTTTCAGTTTGTACAGAATAAAAAACTGAGCCACACATGGATTATATGATGCCATCTGCCTGGTTCTTTGAGTCCCTACATTAAGAGCTCCCAGCTTAAACAGTTGTTAAGCAAATGCAGAAAAGAACTCTTTCTCAAAGACTGCCCAGTACAGGTTTAAGCGACACCAAAGCAGAGATGTGAGTCTTGTAGACAGGCAGTTACATGGGGAGATTCCACTGCAAATCCATGCTCGATTTGCCCTTTCCCTCCTCACCTGTTACCTTCTAACTACGTCCAGCTCCCACGTTATAGGATAAGAATGTGTGATACTCTGGGTCTAACACCACATCTACACAATCTAAGCCTCAGCAGTTCAAGAACTTCACATAATTCCAGGATTAGTTGCGAATAACTGCATCCAAAATCTGCAGACAGCATGTAGTAAACATTCAATAACTAGTATCTATCTAAAAGTGTGCTTTAAATACATATAAGTGATCTATCTCAATCTATAAATGCAGGGAGATCTGTAATCAAATGCCAAAATCAAAGTGCATAAACTGCTATATCTCCAAAATAGACATTCTGACTAAGGCTGCCTTTCAAATTCCTGAATACACATTTTTTAATAGGTTAACACATTACAAAGAAAATGATGCCAACCCTTGCAGCATCTCCATGATTAATAGCTGCAGAATTAAGGAACAAAAAGAACTTACTATACCTGATTTTTTGAACTGGCGTATCTCTTCAAATGCTTTATAAATTCTGGCCGAGATGTGTCCCGCGCAATTATTAGAGCCATACCTCCATTGTTTATTCTAAAATTGAATATTTGTCTTTGACATTAAGGCATTTACTAAAAGGCTTCATCAGAAATCAGTCCATATTATTTCTTTTAACAAGTTCAATATTTACTAGAAGTACTAGATAAAATATCATGGCAAGACATTGCTTATGTATATCTTAAGAATGGGGACTTTGGCCTTAGTGTTCTCATTTCACCATTTTCCTTCCCACAAGCTCTCATTTCAGGGCTTTAAAAAAAAATGAGCCATTGTGCATAATACTCACAGATCAAGAGCATTTAAATCCAGTGCAATTATGAAAGATTACAGAAACAGTTAATATGTACAAATGCTATAACACATAGACCAGCATTTTCTAAATTCTAAAGTGTGATTTATTGGTATATAAACAGGAAACAAAATGACATCAGACAAGAAATCAAAATGTCCTTATTGGATAAAAATGGAATGAGCAAATGCTGCCACAAACACTTAAATGACTGAACATTTTCATCCTGCATAACCGTTTCACACAAGAGAATGAAAACTCAGGGGAGTGATACAGTACTCAAACAGCTCATTTGTAACTGCATCTAGCTTTAAAAAGCAGTTTGCAGAAATGTAGGCAAATGATGCCTAGATTGATCTCCATGCAATATGACATTATTCTCAAAGCTAACACTGACATAAAAAGGAGCTGTTTACATATTGTGCAAGATCAAGTTAGAGCTGGAAGTGACCTTAGAGATTATCTTGTCATTCAATAATTTTATGTACCAGGAAAGGACAGTCTGAGGTTCGAGTGATGTTCTCAAAGCCACAGAGAAACAAAATGATCATCACACATGAGCTCCTTGCAGCAGACGGCGTTAGATCCCTGCCCACCACCTTCAGGTTAGTTGACATGGAGAGAGATTAAAACCTTTACATTGGCGAAATGTAAGTTGGTGAAAAACTAGGCACAGAAGCAGAAACGAATCACTAAAATGTTAAAATCTGCCAAAGGGCTTGGCCACAATTTTATTCCAATTCTAGAGAAACTATTCAGTGTACTGTATCTCACAACTGGAAGACAAATATTGCCAGATCAACAATCACCATTTGCTTAATGAGAACGAGCAAGAGATCTACATTCTACAGTTAAAAGAGCCATAAAAGTCTCAATGTTTTCCAGTTGAATCTGGGCAGAGAAAACACACACACACACACACACACACACACACACACACACACACACACACACACACACACACACACAGAGTGTATTTATGTTGGAATAACTGAACAAGGGGTCACTGAAACCCAGGAAGTGTTATTTAACCACACCAAAACTGAAAACAGCAGTGATTCTCTGATCTTTTTTTTGCAGTTCCACAATGGTTCTCAACCCATGGCAATGAGAAATCGCTAGACAGACTACTTGTCTCCAAGCTTCTAGCTAGCTAAGCGCCAGTTTGGAATTAAACAAGAAATTTTCATTTAGAGACAAGGATCGATGATTCAGTAAACACACTAACCTGTGGTTAGGTTCCACTGAACACAAACAGGGCGTTGCCATAATGCTGACATTCAAGAATTGCCCTTGGATCGTTTGCCATTGGTCATTATAGTCTGAAAGTAATTAAAGTGAACAGTTATGATGCCTCACCACAGCTCAAGGTCAACAGAACCGGTCCTCTCGGGGATACTCTTGGACCTACCAGATTCTCGAGAGCCTTGTTCCCTCCTGAAAGAAAGCAAACCAACAAAACATGTCACACCAACAAAAGAAGCACCTATTCAATATGAGAAAATTAGAGAATCCAGCATTTTATATATATGTATAAATGTTAGTTTCTTAGACAATAAAAATAAATGAACATTGTAGTTACTGTTAATATGCTGCTTCATTTAAATGTAGCTTAGTATTATTACAACTATTTAAATTTTTTACCTTACTGTTTTTATTGCAAAGCAGAGTTAAAGAGAGAAGGACAGAGGGTGACCACATACAAATGACCACATGCTGGAGCTTTGCCAGTGTGAAGCCAAGAACTTCACTGAGCCTCCCATGTGGATGTTGGGGCCTAAGAACTTGAGCCATCCTCCATTGTTTACAGGCAACAAGCAGGAAGCTGGATTATAAATGGAGCAGCTGGGATACAAAACAGGAACCATATGGGATGCCAGCACCACAGGCAGCAGTTTAGCCTGCTATGCCACTGTGTTGGACCCAATTTAAAAAAAAAAATTAAAGAGAATATAACCATTCTTTAGTGTGGCTGTGATTAGTATCTGTGCTTCACACTGGACTCAAATTCTCATGAGGGACAAAACTGCTCATACTTTTTGCTTACTTTGAATTCACTGTTGTATGTGAAGCATCTGGTATTATAACAGGCACACAAATAGGCATTGAATTAACAAATGTACAGATATTGGGTATATAGGTGAATGAGTGAGTGGTTGTTTCTGAAGATATAACTCAAACTATACACGTACCAAAATCTGCTGGAGATCATGATCCTACAGGCTTTATTAGTACTCACGTTAGAAAAATAACCAAAGACAGGAAGTCAGAAAAATTGTTCATATAAAAATGTGTTACAGTTTGAAGAAAAGATACTGGTTTCTATGTTACATTGAGTTCCTTCTTACCTTTCTTGTATATCCTGAGAACTGTCAAATGTCAAAAATGATATTTCACAGTCCTCCAGCCTGAAATAATAAAGAAATGTGTTATTACTCTTCACTGGCCTTACGATACAGAATTTTTGTTTGAAGGTAAGTATTTACTTGAGTTTTGCCAGTGCCTTAATTACAGCAAAATCTCTTCGTTGGTTGGGGGACATCCATTGATACTTTTCTGCCAGTGCCAAAGTTCTTCCACCAAAGCCGAACGTGGCTGAGAACCCAAAGCGCAGAAGTTTGCCCGTGGTACTAAAGGTGCAGACATCAGCGGGTCGGAGGTCTCCTTGAACATCACGTTGAACGTTAGTCAGGCAATGAGTACAGCACAGCCAGGTGTCAAAACTACAGACACACACAGCGTATTTGTTTACTTACAGGAGAGTACATCCAGGTACTATATACAGTTATGAGTATCCTTACTTTCTCTTCATCTCTCTATCTGCAACGCTTACAAAGTTCATTTGTAACTGTTTCAGACACTAAGTAAAGAAACATGGAATAGTAAGGCTTAAAACTTGCTATCTCATACAAAGCATGGCTAAGGAAGTGACACTACAGAACACGTGCAAAGTAAATAGTAGTTTTCACTACACTTCCCTGAGCCTGTATGCTTTCTAACAACTGGATAATAAACGTGTGAATGTGCACGGGAAGATGTGTTTACCTTTTACTTTGCATTTTCTTTTAGTACCAAGTCAAGTTTAGAATCTTGGTACAAAAAGCAATATCAGATATATTTAAATAGGCACAATTTTTTTGATCTGTTAAAAATTATGATTTTGAATTATGTATTTTTTATTTTTAAAAAAATTTGTTGAAAGATATAGTCATCAAGCATCTCCCTCCCACTGCTTGCCCACAGCACTGAGGGTGTGCCTCAGCAGGAGGCTCAGATGGAGAACAGGGTCAGGACTCCAGCCAGTGCCCTTGGCAGGGGCATGTAGCCACCCCCAGCAAGAGCTGAGCACATGCACCAAACACCTGCTACATGACAGGATTTTTTAAGCAAGATTATACCAAGACTTTATTTACTGTTCTTTACAAAGCAAGTATTTTGAAAAGATGGGCCCTTCAAATAACGTAGTCCTACCTACTTGACATTTTATCAAAACCTTGAGACAAAGATATCACTTTTTCTTAGGGTAGAGAAACAAAATTGCCCTTTTAAATAAAAAAGAATAACTTCCTTATAAAACATAACTTTCTTTGGAAGAAATCTTACCCATGATAATGCGCAAAGTTGCAGTAACCACGTGAGGGAGTCCACAAAGAGAATGTACCAACACATTGTTTGATCCTGCCAAAGCAATTTAAAATCATGTGCCATCAGTGAGGCATACATTTCAAGTTAATGTCTGTGTCTTCGATCACTATCACTGAAATGTGCAGAAGAATAACAGAGGTTCGTAAAATTAGAAAAGTGGATTCAAACATTAGCAGACTAATTTTCAGTTCACAGCCTAAATGCACAAATGCTTGCAGGAGTATCTGAGGAATCATTGATTAACTTAAAAATTATCGAATTGTTCGTGTTAGCTTCTTACGATTGTTTTTAATCCTGCTTATCTATTTTCTATCGCAAAATGCTAGCTGTATCAAAGTGTACTCTATATACCTTGCATGATCGAAGAGTGTTCTGGAAAGTGAGACGGATATGCAGTAAGACAAAATCCATACAATAGAAGAAGAAAGAACATGCAATCCTGTGAAATGCAAATGGCATGCCCTAAGTGCATTTACTAAATTTTAGTGACAACTCTCAAGCACATGGAACTCCCTTTGTATGGTCTGATAGAAAAACGGTCTCCAAAATGAATAAATTGTTTAATTTCATGTTATTTTCTATGACATGAAAAATTTGCATGAGACACTCTTTCTGATTTTTTACCATCATTAGGATAGTTTAGGATGCACATGGATGGTTTTTTTTTTTTTTTTGGCAGCATATATACAAAGAGCTCTTGAACACTTACATTAACTAAAATCTTTAGAGAAATTTGTACTTCAGAATATGACAATACCAGCCAGCCAATCTCACCATTTCTTGACAGTTATATTAGCACATTAGGGTTCAAAGTTATTAATAGGCAGTAAGTCAAACTATGATTTTTCTCCCATAAAATGCGGGAGACAACTCCAGTAATTGCCAAAAGCTATATAAGCATGAGTGTAGTATGTTCTAACAGAAGCAACAGTGACTCCTCAGGATTTTGTTTTTAGTAGCACCTGTCACTTTGTGCTGATGGGTACTTAGGTACTTAGTTGGAGAAGCTGGGATCGCTCAATAGCATCATCTATGATATCACTAAGATAATTATTTGGTGCATTTCTAAGCATTGCTTAATAATTAATTAATACATTCTAATGACTAATGAAACAAGACTTCTAACAATTATCCAAAGAAAAGTTCACCTTTATCAGTTGGTAAACAGGTTCCAACCAATTCACCAAAAATCAAGTTACTTTCTGACCTTTGTTAGTCATAACACAGCACAAGGTCAAGTGGAATAACAACACCTGTGTGCTTAAGAAAATTCTGTCATCAAGAATCAGACAATGACGCCCACTCTTGTCATGTTCTTCAACATGATGTTTGAAGTCCTTGCCAGGAGAATCAGGCAAGAGACATAAACAAAAGGTATTGAACTGGAAACAAAGGAGTAGCATTTCCATGTATTCACAATAAAGCATCCAGAACAAGGACCATGACAAGAATCCCGTATTCTATAGCTACTACAAAATACCAAGGAAGTAAATTTAACAAACAAGGTGAAAGACTTGTACACTGAAGATGTTGCTGAAAGAAATGGAACATGACACAAACAGAATATCCTACAATCATGGCTTGGAAGAATTTATATTGTTAAAAGGTCTGTACTGTGCAAAGCAATCTATTCAGTTGATGCAATCCCTATCAAAATTTTAATGGCTCGTTACATAAACAAAAAGATCTAAAATTTGAATTGAACCACAAAAACAAGAAGTAGCCAAAGCAATGGTGAACAAACAGCACAGCTGGATGTATCCGCACCTGACTTCAAAATCTGCTACAAAATTGTAGCAACCAATGCTCATGGTGCTGACAGAAAAACAGACACAAAGACCAACGCGATAGAACACAGAAGTAGTCTCCAGAACTTATAATAAACCCCTTTTCTAGAAAAGTGCCAAAAACAAAAACCACCAAGACTTGGCAAGAACTAGATTTGCACGTACACAAGAATGAGATCAGGTGCTTATTTCACATAATACACAAGACCCAAAGCTGTAAAACTAATGAAGAAAAATATATGGAAAAGCGTCCCTGCCATGAGTCTGGGGTGCAACTCTTTCTTTCTTTTCTTTCTTTTTTTTTTTTTTAGAAAAAATACCTATGTATTTATTTGAAAGGGGGAATGGAGAAAATATTTTCCATTTGACTGCAACAGCTGTGGCTATGCAAAGCCAAAGGCAAACAACTTGATTTGTATTAAAATCTTCCACTCTCCACTGGGTGCCAGTGCCAAAGCATTCAGGCCATCCACTGCTGCTCTCTAAGGCACATTTGCAGGAAGAGGGACTACAAGGGCAGCAGCCAGACTGCAATCAATTCCCATAAACGATGCCAGCATTTCAGGCTTTATGAACAGTACCCGCCCCACAATTATTGTATTATAAATCCAAAACTTGTGTAGAAAACAAAAATAGACATACAAAGCTGCCTCAAACTAAAAGGCCCCACACCATAGAAAAAACAACACACAATGAAAAAACAATACAATGAAAATTGGAGAAAATATTTATAAAATAACAATTTAAAAGAGCACACAAGAGACACATAAAACAGCAAGAAAAAAAACGTTACCTTTGATTTAAAAGGGGGCCAGTGTTGTGGAAGACTGAGTTGAGCACGGCCTAAAATGCTGGCATTTCACATCACAGTGCTGGTTGCAGTTCCAGTTGGCCTACTACCAATCAGCTCCTTGCTAAGACACCCAGGAAAGCAGGGGATGATAGTCAAGCACTTGGGACCCTACTGCCCTTGCAGGAGATGTCCAAGAGATGGCCAGGGGATGCTACAAGGTGGGAGATTCCCCTCTCTTTCTAAATAAAATGAACAATTAGTGTTTAAACCAGTAATTAATCGAGATAAGTTCAACTAAAAAGAAGTTTAAAGTACCACCTGAGTCTCAGTAGCTTCTATACTTCTGGATGATTCTAGATTCCTGGGTGACATACAAATATGCATAGTTTGAGTGAGATGTTTGCCTGCAATATATGATTAATGACCTAGCACCAACAGTAATCCCTGGGTGCTTACTAAAAATGCAGATTCCTGAGTTCTACTTCCAGCTCACATAATCCTAACATACACGGAAAGGGTATCTGTGTTGACCAAGTTCTCAAGGTGATTCACATGCACTTGAAAATTTGAGAGCTAGGACTCTGGTACTCCACGGATCTTTACCAAGACCTTTCCAATCATCTTTTGACTCTGCTGGCTGCTGGTTAGTCATCTAATCACTAATTCACCTGCAAGAGGTAGGAGAGAGAGGGGGGAAACAAATCATTCATTTTGCTTCCCAATCAAATTCACGCTAAAGGTTTTGGAGGAGGCCATGTAATTAGAGAGAGATATTTAAGATTATCAATGAATTACAGTACCCCATGAAATACACTGCCTCCATTACCATGGTTAATTAGGAGGAGACCATAAAAGCATTCCTCCAGAAAGGCTATTAAAAACAGAATGTAATGTTGTCATGTGCAATAGAGAATGGCACACATCATGACTCAAGAAAATAAAGGCCATTCGCTTGCCAGCGGTCTGAAGTATGCCCAAACACAAACCCTTTTATGATGACTGAGATGGCCTTTTCTCATGTTCTCTCAGGTTTTCCAACTGCTGTGCTATAGAGCCTGACAGTGATAATGGTTTGCTCAGAAGTAAGACATTTTTTGAGTCACATACTGCTCATGAATAATTACATTACCTGTTCAACATGATTCATTACCCTCGAGAGGAAAGTGTGTAAGAAAGACTACCAAGTAATTATAAATCTAGATTATCCTGGCTTTTTTTTTTTTTGGTTCAGAAAAATCTGAAAAGAGAATACTATCTTGTTTCAGGAAATGAATCTATTTTTAAAAAGATGTCTTCATGCCAGTAAAAACATCCTACACACACATAATACTGGTGAAAGGTCAGTGTTTCACAAAAGCTCCAAATTCCAAACCTCAAAGAAAACATGCTACTTAGCTCAGGAAGTTATTTTTCCTTTTTAATACCAGTAACTATGCCTAGCACCCCTCTCCAAGCCATGCTAAAAATTGCTAAATACCAAAGGTAAGGGCAGAAGTAGCAATTCATGGAAAGCATCACTGATGGAATACCAGGCAGAAATCAGGGAGGAAAAAAAAAATTGTCCTTGGAAGTGCAAGCACTTCTGTAGAACAATTAACTTAATTAACCAGACACCATGAATATTCATAAGGCTGTTAATGTCGCCCACATCCAAACAGATAAATGTGATGTAATGACTTCCTAGTCAAGCATAGCTAAAATTCTCATGAAAATGGCACCTACACTTTGGTTCTTTGCCTGAAATATAGAAATTAACAGTCCCTCAGCAATATTTTATTTTCCTCAAATTAATTGGAAAGCATAGATTTATTTTTGTGAACTCTGTAGCAATATATGGTTCAGAGCCATCGGTATGTGGATTGAGTCTTGTTTTACAATACTGGATTGCTTTTTTTATTTTTATGTCCTCTCGGGTGTTCCTCTCTCCCCACCCCACTTTTAATCGAAGTCTCTGTAGTTCCTTAGCACTAGTTCCCATAGCAACAAACAGCATTCCTAATGCCCAGCAGTTCAAATACCGGCTTCGCCACATCTGATCCCTTTGACTCTGACCATAATTCAGCAGCTTAGTCTGTTGGCTCTGTGGAGTAATTTGCTAAACTCTCTCCCTCTGGGATGTTTATCTCCAGGAGGCAAGCAGTTCAACACAGAAACCTCTAACCTACCTCTTTTTCCTATTTTCTATCACATGTCCTGACCAGGCACAGAGTCCTCAACATGCAATACATCCCACCATAACACTCTCCTCTTACTACGTGACATCAGCAAGATGAAATACCCAACAACCAGAATTTTGGCAGCATGTTGGACCTCCTGCCAAAAAAAAAAAAGAAAGAAAATGGCAAATACCCAGTGAATATGTTTTAGAAAAATCAGAAATGTGCTTCAGAAGCATAACAGCTTTAAAATTCAGTGCTATTCCTTTAAAATCTCAAATATTACCAAGGTAAGAGTAAATGCCAGTTTGTGTAGCCCACTGTATATCAAGTGCCTGCTTCTGGGGACAGCCGTCCTTCCACTTTTGCTACACAGCCATTCATGACCAACACGAGGAATTCTTTATTTTTTTTTATTGACAATCTTTACGTAGTTAATTAGGGTGAAAAGGTTCAAGGGCTACAGGAAAGTGGGTAAGACTATCATTTTTTCCATATAGTTTCCTTCATGTTTATAGGGGGGGTATTAAGGGAGAAGGCCCACCCAATTTCACACCCTCCCCAGGTCCCGGATGTAGGGTATGCTCTGAGGTTCCTGTTCAGGTGGCTTTGATATTTCAACTGTTATGAATCGCTTCCAATCTTGACACTCCAAGCACTATGAGGTCCTTGAAGAATCCACTGATTGACATACTCCATCATAGAGTCTCTGTTTGTCCCGAATTTCGTTGCCAAGATATAGCTGAGATGGTTGGTTGACCTGTTCTGTCTCCTCTCTTTTCTTGGTTAGGGTTCTGAGTCCAGCATTTTGGTTGTGGAGATCTCCAAAGAAACTTTGAAGTGTTCTCAGACCAGATTCTTGTATGTACTAGCAAGTACAGGGCCTGGCACCGTCCATCACCCCGATCATCTGGTGGTTGCAATTGCTGGGTTGGTTCTGTTTTCACTCCCGACTTCCACTGGAACCGATGGGTGTTGCAGTCCAGCCTGATTCTGCCCAGCACATACTTGGCCCTCACATAAACCAGTGGGAGCTGCAGCCTAGTTGGAGTGACCCACAATAACCCCCACCAGGCCCACCACCCCCTACCCTGGTTTGCCAGTATGTGTAGCAGTGATCCAGTCTGTCCCACACCCCTTTCCACCCCAGTGGGTGTCCTAGTTTTATGCCCTCCCGTGGAAGTGGTTTCCCAAGAGGGAGGAGCCCACTATTTCCCTCCCAGGCCTCTCCCACTCTCAGATTATGCACTCTCCAGATAGTCCTGTGGTTTGAGTTGATAGAACTAGCCCCAGTGCCAGCTTCTGCCAGCTGATGCTGTGGCTAAGCCCAAACAACCCTCACCCACTCTAATTTTGTTTGCACCAGTAGGAATAATACGCCAGCCCGGCTTTTCCCTCATCTAGGCCACATGAGGTGCACAGGTATTGTAGCCCTGCCTAGTCTGGTCTGCCCCCATCCCAGCCCACGCTCTCCAGCAGGAGTAGCTGTCCAGCAAAGGAACCCTCCCTTATTCCCCTGCCGGTTTTGCCCCCTCCCTTCCTTGTTCTCACACGTGCTGGTTGGGCACTGTGGTCCCTACCGGTACAGGCGACCTCACCTTGGCATTCCGTATTGTGCACTTGTCTCTGTTGCGACCACACCTGACTCGACCCACACTGTTCTGGTGCTTGGATTTGCCAGTGGATGACATGGACAGATTCAGGCTGGACTTCCCCCGACCCCTGCCAATTGTATGCCAGTGGGTAACTTTCCATGGCCTGTTCTGGACTGTTTCCTATCATGTTTCTTGCACTTATCTGCAGGGTCTGTGTCCTGTCGGAGGAGTTGCCCAGGCTCCTCTATCAGAACCTCTCCCAATGCCAGGTTTCACACTTACCAGTGGGTCCATGAGCCAGCCCTACTCAGTCCAACTCCTGTCATAGCAGGAACAATGGCTTTCTTTTCCTGACTGGCCTTCGACCCAAACTGGTTCTTGTTGTTGGATATTTCAGCCCAGTCATGGCTCGTCTATGCACATATATGGCTCACACATGGCTCAGTAGGGGATTGAGACCTTGCCTAGTCCATCGCACATCTATCCCGGTCCTCCAGGACACCAGAGGGTGTTGGGGTCTGGCCTGGCTCGGTGCATCCAATCCCAGTCCACACTTGTGCCAAGGGAGACTACAACCGTTTCCAGATCAGAACGCAACCCCCAGTCCAGGTCACACACCCACTGGTGGGAACCTCAACCTAGCTAGGATTGTCCCCTTGGCTCCCCAACTGGGCCTGTTCCCAGCCATAGATACTCAGCTTGGCACAGCCCCTCACCTGTCCTGACCTCTGCCTTAGACACTGTAGCTTAGCGTCCCTGGCTCATGTGGACCAGTAGGTACAAGAGCCTAGCTCGTCATGACCTGTGCTCCGTCCTAGTCTCTAGTTTTGCTTGTGGGCTAAGGTTTGCTCAGTCCTACCTGATCTACCCTGTTCCATTACCAATTGACGTATTTGCCAGCTGCTGGAGCTACTTTTCCCAGCTTGTCCGACCCCCAGGTCTCGACCACATGTTCACCAGCGGGAGCTATGACTCGCCAGGGGAGTTTCCCAAGTTCCTCCACGTAATCCACTCCCACATCCAGTTCTCATACATGCCATTGGGTTTAGGCCAGTGCCCAGCGCAATCTGGCCTTCCATTTGGCCTTGCATGAGCTGGTGAATGTTGCAGCCCGGCCCACCCCACACCCTATTCAGGATGCACATTTGGGTGCTGCTGCCCTGACTAGTCCAGACTATTGGGAGTTCCTTTACCTGTGATTGATGGCAGGCTCCTTGGTCACACCTGGCTTAGTCCATCACCACTCCAACTCTTGAGCTAACCAGTGGGGCTAGAATTTTCACACGATGTGGCCCACACATCCCTCACAGAATTTACCCCCGGTTATGGTTCTTCAGTGCTGGTTAATGTAATGGCTTGCTTAATGTGACCCTTCTCCTGATCCATCATCATGTCAGGTAACATGATATAACTATACAGGACCAGCCTGAAGCCAAAGATTCTGCATGGACTGGTATTTAGTGGTCAGCACTGTTCAGTGATTACAAGTTTTACAAAGGAAGAGTTACTGCCAGTGATTACAAGTTTTACAAAGGAAGAGTTACTGCCAGTGATTACAAGTTTTACAAAGGAAGAGTTACTGCCAATGGGAATCTTTATGAATGCTTCACATCCTAGAAGCACAATGAGTTCAACCTGGAGCTAACTAAGCAGCGACTTAAAGAAACAAAACCCCAGAGCTCCCTGGCCTTGCGGCCAGCAGGCGGAGCCTGGCACCGAATGGCGCACTGGCCACCCGGGGACAGCTCACCAAATGCACATGGTGGCTGTCGTCTGGGATCCAGGCATGAGACGCCCCGTCCTGAGACCCACCACGAGGAATTCTAAGTGCTAATGAAAAAACACGGTGACCTCAGTACAACCACACTCAAAGATGTTGGACAGATCAGTTGTAACAGCCACTATAACAAAAATGACACCAAATACATAAAGTGGCATGAAAAGATGGCCCTAAAATGGATCTTTTTTTCTTTTTTAGGGGATGTTATTTTTTTTTTTCTTCTGCTTAGCAACCACTATAGATTTTTCTATATGCCCAATAATGATCAGGCTAAATCCCAATAACTCTCTCCTTTTGCCTTTTTTCACTTATGGGACACATTACTCTCTGCAAGGGCTCCTGAATATCTTTTGTTGGTTGTCAGCAGTTTAACACCATAAACAAACATAATAAACTCCAAAGTACATTAACATTCTCCAATAGAATGCTGGTTTTCACAACATATGCATTTTTCCCCCATTTTTATAGAGAAAATGATCATTTTGCTTCTCTTTCAGAAATACCTGGCACTTTCAAATGAATAAAAAATCAATTTTCCTATTCTTATGTATATAATAACTTGAAATGAATGAGTTGTATCACATAATGATACAATGGGTGTGGTTCCCAACTGCTTATAAAATGATTCAGATCCATTGCTGTGGCATGCAGGAGTCTTCAGCTCAAACATTCAGATTTTGCCTTTTAACATTCACTCTATTATTTTTGCAGCCAAGAAATTAACTAATTCCCATCTTTTCTAGCCAGATCTTACCCACTGTAAGCACTAGTTCAAGAGTTACTTATTATGTAAAGCATTTTTACATTCATTCACTTAATCTTATAAATAACTGTCCCATTCTATTTTAGCTCCTGGGTACAGATAACTGGATAAAAAGATACATAGCCTGGCAGATGAGAAGCTCACCTATTAGCTGACCCTGCGCCTCTCTGAACCTCTTTTTAGCCAGAAATAATTATTTTGGCTTCAAATTGTCTACAACTTGACTGGAGTAACCATTGATGTGCAACTTCTGTGTGGTGGTAGAGCAATAATTACATGCATTGATGGTTTAATTATATGGTAAACCCTTTGTATATACCATGTAATTTAGTATTACAATTTTGCAATGAAGTTGAATATTATGTTCTCTGTTTTACATATTTGAATAAGTCACTTAATTTCTTTGAGCTCTATTTTTCTAAGTTTCATATCTACTTATCGAGATAACAGAAGAGTCAAGCCTGGATCTTCCACACTCAAATTCTGCATGTTCAACTCGGTGTTATAGCATCTAGGAAAAGGAGAGGTGGGAAGGGTCCACTGAGCAATGCTGTGGTCAGCCACTTGCCTGTTGGTATCCAGCCAAGTGGAAGCTGGGCTCTGACTGGGCTCAGGAGTCCATCTGCTTCCCTCCCAGCATTCTTCTGGGCTCTAAGAAGCAAGGCATGGGCAACTTCACTAACAAATCCATCTCCACCCACACAAATGATGCTGGAAAAGACAGAAAATAACCAAAATAATGACAAACTCCCAAATCATAGACTAGTGAAATACCAAACTCACAATATTTTATGAATCAGCTATGATCTCTTTGTGTATTCATATATGCCTTCAGTGTATACCAGTGGGTGAAAATACATAAGCATAGCACAGGCAGAACTTATAATACCCAGAACCACAACATATTTTCAAACAAATTAGAGGCGACAAAACATTTTAATATATAAATTCATACAACTACTCTGTTCTGATAATAGCCGAAAACACATCACCCTCAGTTTGTATTAATATTTCATCTCTGTAATTCACTTAACATGAGCCAACACCATAAAATTCTAATTTTCATTAAAGCACTAAAAACACAGCCATAAAAACCGTGTAAGATATGTAGCTTTGATTTAAGGCTAATTATCATGAGTACATAAAAGTAGTCATTGCAAACTGACCTGGTCTTTATCTCTGACATGATTACTAAAAGGGCACTTCTAAATTTTGTGGTTACTACTCTGTGGTCTTACAAGGTAATGTTACTATTTTTAATCCCCATGGTAGGAGGAGTATGTGGATGGGAATAATTGTACAAAAGTAATACATAAAATAGAATTTTTCATAATTCCTATTTTAAATATATAATAGTCTTCAACATGAAAATGTTATCAGTTTAACCAACACGGGAGGATTTCACATTATTGATAGCAAGTGCCACAGGAGGCTATCACAGGCCCAGCAGCTTGGCAGAGCTTGCTCGGTCCAAAGGTGCCGGACTTTCCTGGTTATGGCCCCTCACATCACGTGGGAAAGCTGCCAGGAACACACAGGATTTTTCTAGAGCATCCACAAATGGATTCTAAGGTGATGCTCCTACCTTGTAAACACTAGTGAACAGCATTTGATACGTTGAAGAATCTTGCCAAGCAAAAACTGCCCAATCAGCAGGGGTTTTCCAAACTTATGAAACCACTAAAAGTACGGACCAGTGTCAAATGATGTCTGCTTCAATTCCCTCCATTTTCCTTCCAAAGCCTAGTCCCCTCACCTCAATGATGTCAGGACCTGAGTCTAATAGCTAAGGCAATTGAGGTTCCTTCTATCTAATAGAGACTTAGGACATGGCCCAAGTAACCTTTGATTTGGGATAATATGGACTGATCCTGAAAGTTTACAACATACTCTTGCAAAGAAAAGGAGTAATTGTTGGAAACAAATGACGTGTATGATCATGAGTTAATTCTTTCCTGTTCAATCTTTAGAATTCTACATGAGCCCCTCTTTATCCAGCCCTTACAGGAACCTTTCCTGTTTGATTTCAAGGGCCACCATTTTGAAACATTCTGTAAACTAAAGTGTGACTTTCATCTGGCATGTCTATATGCTGAAATCACGTCATCTAGAGGACAGTGAAGTGATTCCCAAAATCATCAAATTAATAAAAACTGCTACATACATAGGATCGCAACTTCCCATCCTGGAATCTATGCTCCACTCACAATATCGTGTGTGTTCACTCATTCACTGGAGTTGGTAGAGATGGCCTTTCTAAGGGCATGCGCTCCAACAAAACACCTTTGAAATTCCATGATACACATTTTGTGTTGAAACTCATACAAATTAACACTAAAAATAAAGTAATGGGCTTGGGGCTGTGGCCTAGCGGCTATAGCCCTTGCCTTGAACACACCCGGAACCCATATGGGTGTCGGTTCTAATCCCGGCAGCTCCACTTCCCATCCAGGATTTATTCCAGTGCAGCTACTCTCAAGTATCCAGGAGCTCTTGCTTGCAAGTGTGTTCAATACAGTAAGGCAGCCAGCTGGTGCGCATGACTCTCTTAAACTGACACCTGCAGATAACATCCTGAATGTAGCACATTAATGCTCTGTCTACCTCTAAATACCAAGTTCTGAAATAATCATCTACTTCATGCTCTTGATCCCAACACTTACATAGAATCTCAATCTAGAGTTTCTCCTCTCGAATTTCCTTCCGCAAAACCATGCATCACTTACCAAACTTTCTTCCCTGCTGGCTTGATTTTTCTCATTAAAAAAAAACAAAAGCATGTTCTAAAAATCTTGCCAAATGTTTCCTTCAGCTTGCCTCATTACCTTCAATAAGATATTCCAAAAATGCTGGGGGGAGTAGTGGTAATAAAAGCCTTACACTCTGGTGAAAATACAATTTTTTTAACCTTAATGAAGGGCCGTTTGTTGCTCTCTGTCCATCAAGTTACACAAGCAGTTCACTTACTTGCCACATTTTTAAACTCTCAAACATTCACTCTTGAAAGCAAGCAAACAAAAACACCTTCCCTAAAGGAATATTAAGCTTTAGTCTTACACATTAGTCCAGGATTCTAGCAAATCAATTCACCAGCGTTTTTAATCGGCTGTTATGTTTATGCCAGCCGTCTTCTTTCTAGTGCCTGTGTGGCCACTGAACAATCATTACACACTCCCCAAAAGGTACTGCAGATAGCATTTCCAACAGCTACCACAAATAACACAACTATCAAGTTGTCACTAGATTCCAGGAGAGAATTCAAATGAGCATTTTATTAATTCTGAAAATATTCTTGCTGTTATGTGCGTACTCCAGTTGATCACTATCAAATAATTGGTTAACTAATAACACTAATAATACATTTCCAAAATAGGATCAAATCATTAAGAACTACACAGATGTGTCCGGCTCCTTGGCATAACAAGCTAAGTTTCCATCTGTGGCATCAGCATTAATAAGGGCACCAATTCAAGTTCCAGGGTCTCCACTTCCAATGCATCTCCCCGCTAATGGCCTGGGAAGGCCCAAGACCTTGGGTCCCCCACCCACGTGCGTAAACATGGAAGAAGCTCCTCACTTCAAACCATCCCTGCTCCAGCCATTATTAGCCATTTGGGGAGTGAACCAGCAGGTGGAAGGTCTGCCTTTCCTTCTTCCTCTGTAACTCTGACTTTCAAAAAGAAACAAATCTTTAAAAATGTTTGCAGAAAATAGAATGAAAATGTAAGCTTACTGTGGTAAAAAAAAAAATCACTATTCATATGTTTTTGTGTTTTTTTAAAAGATTTTATTTTTTTTTATTGGAAAGTCAGATATAAAGAGAGGAGAAGAGACAGTGAGAGAGATCTTCCATCCAATGATTCATTCCCCAAGTGACCGCAATGGCCAATGCTATTGCCGATCCAAAGCCAGGAGCCAGGAACTTCTTCCAGGTCTCCCACATGGTGCAGAGTCCAAAGGCTTTGGGCCATCCTCGACTGCTTTCCCAGGCCACAAGCAGGGAGCTGGATGGGAAGTGGAGCTGCTGGGATTAGAACCGGTGTCCATATGGGATGCCAGCATGTTCAAGGCGAGGACTTTAGCTGCTAGGCCACGCCACCGGGCCCCACTCTTCATATGTACTCATCATTACACTAAGACTCATACAGTATCTTTTATCAGTGCCTTTCTATACATTCATGTGGTGAGGTCATGAATTAAGAATTCTGTAATTTCGGGCCCAGCGTGGTGGCGCAAGTGGTTAAAGTCCTCGCCTTGCACACCCGGGAATCCCATATGGGCGCCGGTTCTATCCCGGCGGCCCCGCTTCCCTTCCAGCTCCCTGCCTGTGGCCCGGGAAAGCAGTCGAGGACGGCCCAAAGCTTTGGGACCCTGCACCCGCGTGGGAGACCCCGAAGACGCTCCTGGCTTCAGATAGGCATAGCATCGGCCGTTGCGCTCACTTGGGGAGTGAATCATCTGATGGAAGATCTTCCTGTCTGTCTCTCCTCTCTGTATATCCGGCTTTCCAATAAAAAAAAATAAAATAAATCTTAAAAAAAAAATTCTGTAGTTCCATGAATATAGAATCAAATTTGGGAGTAATACTTCATTCATTTGAAAAGTCTATTTTTTGTTTATTTAAAAGAGTGACACAGAGATAATCCTGTCATCTCCATCTATCCACTGTTCACTCCCCAGATGGCTGCAATGGCCAGGACGAGGTCAGGCTGAAACTAGGAGTAAGGAGTCTCATCCACGTCTCCCACATGAATACAAGCTCCCACCGCTTCCACTGCTTTTCCGAGGCCATTCGCAGGGAGCTGGATTATAAGTGGATCGACCACAACATGAACAGGAACCTAAAGGGGATGCAGCATCACAGGCAGATGCTTTGCCAATCCTGCCGCAGTGGCACACCCAAGAATGAGGTATTTTTAAACATCTATGTCTATATTTGAAGGCAAAAATGGGGACAAAGGGATGGAGAGAAAGAAAATAACACATCTTCTATCAGCTAATTGACTCCACAAATGACTGTAACACTTAGGGCTGAACCAGGCCAAAATCAGGAGCCAGGAATCCCAACCAGGTCTGCCACATGAGCGGAAGGGGCCCACCTCTTGGGCCACCATCTGCCGCCTTCCCAGGTATAGGAGCAGGAAACGAGATGAGAAGCAGAATAGCTGGGACTCAAGTCATCACTGCAATGCAAGATGGGGGCATCTCAAATGGCAGCTTAATCTGAGGCACAATGTTCAAATTAAAAATTATAGATGCAAACATGATAACCGCACAAATAGTTAAATATATGACCAAAATATGTAGATAAAATTTAAAAAGAGCATTTACTAATAAGGTAAGTAATATACATGTATTAAAAATATAACCTACCCATCCAATCCCTGGAGCTCACACTTCTGCAGCAGCGACAAAGCATGCCCTTCATGTTCCGTTACTGTTAAAAATAAGTACACGAACAAGGGAAGTTTTAAATTGTGATGCATACTTCTCAAACTTTGGCAAAAACATGATTAACATATCAGGTCATAAGACAATATTTACTCTTGAATATTTATAATCATGAAAAGAGATTTAACTATTAGTTACATATTGCGATTTTTATCTTTATATAAAAGGTAAATTGACAGTATTTGCTCTAAGTCCTACGGGAATAACCCACACATAGTGGCTGGAGAGTTTATCTGGGTGTCTGTCTGGTATTCCTTAAATAAGATAAATTTCCTTTAAATTAGAACCTTAGGAGTAGTATCTTGAAAATACAGCATATTAATTGGCATGTAACAGTCAATGGCAAATCACTTTGAAACCTGGACGTGAATAAATTTGTTGAAATGTTAGTGTAGGATTTATATACCAGAGAGTGTGTCAGGAACGGCTTGACTAGCATGAAGAGGAGCTGGATGAGAACAGAACAAGGAAAGCCAACACCAATAGCAGGAGAGCCAGACCTGAGGAGGAGGGTGGCACGCAGGCCCACCAGAGCCTGGGTCCTCAAAGGAAATCAATCTGTCACTCCGTATTGCTCTCTCCACAGTCACCGGTGCCCTGTGCAGCATTGTCCATGCCAAGGAAGACAGGATCAATGGGCACACTGCAGATGGCATGAAGCATCACAACCACATTTAGCATTTTCTAGAGCAGCTCTGCCAGAAGAGAGCCCAGCTGTATCCACCCATCAAAGACCTCTGCTGACTGACATGACATTGCAGATGGATTTGTTGTGTAAAAATGTGCATCATTGTATGCAAGATTACATTAATCTTTTATGCCTGTCTATCCCAGGTGCCAGCATGGTTCAAGCTTTTCTTACAATGTTTTTAGATATTGTTAAAAATTATTAATATTGATGTCTTAAGGAATCATTCTGTGTCCAGGAGTGTGATACAGTAATTCTCCCAAGACTTACTGAAAATGCTTTGACATCCACAATGAATTAAACTTCTCTACATCAAATTCTAATTTTAAAAAGCTGTAATAAAACCAAATATAAAATATTAATAAATTTGGAAGGCTATAATTAAACTGTGTGCTGATCATTCACTAACCATGGCAAGTAATAAAGAAGAAGACATCTTACATGAACAAATTAAAATAATTGACATGGTAAAGAAATACATAAGCTAAGAATCAGCAAGTCTTACTTTCATGCCACACTTTATTTTGGTCAAGTTTTTTAAATCTAATAGAAAATTAGCTATAAAAAAGCTGAGTCAGGGCCCAGTGTGGTAGCCTAGTGGCTAAAGTCCTCACCTTGCACATGTCAGGATTCCCATATGGTACCGGTTCTAATCCCCGGCAGCCATGCTTCCCATTCAGCTTCCTGCTTGTGGCCTGGGAAAGCAGTAGAGGATGGCCCAGAGCCTTGGGATCCTGCACCTGTGTGAAGAGACCTAGAAGAAACCCCTGGCTGCTGGCTTCAGATTGGCTCAGCTCCGACCATTGTAGCTACTTGGGGAATGAATCATTGGACGGAAGATCTTCCTCTCTGTTTCTCCTTTCTCTAATCGGACTTTCCAATAAAAATAAATCATTTTTTTAAAAAGCTGGGCGAATGTTATTTTTGCCTAGGAAACACGATTGTCTACTTTTGATACTGTACATAGAATCTGAATAAACACTAACACAAACTCTCCAAGCAAGCTATTTTCTAAAGTGATATTGCAAATGTTAAATAAATCACTAACAAGGAAAAAAAAGATTAAATTCTATTCAAACCTATACAACACAGAAGCAAAATGAGGAAAGTGAATAAAAGTATGACTCAAGGAGTTTTCATTTTGGAGATAGACAGTAATAATTACAAATTATGAAGTAACAGGAAGTGATCAGGAAGTAAAACAACAAGGAAAAGAAGTGATCACGACTACTATTTAGACACACTTGAAAGAAAAAAAAGCGTGTCATAGATCCCCACGCACTCTGTAATCACAGAAAGATTCAAAGCAACTCACTCCAAATCGCTATCAGGAAAAAATGGCAAGGGCAATTGTCATGTAATGTAATCTCTTCTTTCACGTATTTGCCTTTTCTTATAGGATTGCCAATCTTTATACATATGTTATAGAATATTTGGAGCCTTCAAAATGTACGGATTTTGGAGTATAATTTCTACTCTTCAGGACTTCTTCAGGAAAGTAAGACAAGAGAGTGATGTGTTGATGCTGAGAAAGAATGCTAACGAGACAACGGTGTGAAATCAAGTCAGATGAGATTAGAATTGGACAAGTTTAATCATTTCTCAGCCTGATGATCAAATTCTCTTGCAGGACAGGGTACTGAGATGTCACTGCCTTTCCTGTCCTGCAAGTGCTTCAACCTTAGGAATCTTAAAATGAAATCCATCATGTCCACTTTCAAACCTATTGTTCTTTTTCCTTTTCACCACTCCCTGTCCCCAAACAAGAAATGCTTTCTTTCTAACTTAACTTTCTTTTCTATATCCTGTAATCACTCCAGGGCCATGGCCAGTTGCTCCTGTCTTTGAATTAGGCGGCAGTATCCCTAACTCTTATTTTTTATGCATATGCTTTTCGATTCTCCTCCCATGTCTTACCCAGTCCACCCAGAAACATCTTGTTCAAACATATTTAATCATGTCATTGCTTTGCTTTAAACGCCATTGATGCCTCTTCCCTGTCCCCAAGAAGTATCCGATTCTCCAAATCACTGAGTATTGGAAAGATAATTAACCATCTTAATCATATACTGTTACTTAAAGGAAAATAAAAGAAACTTTGCACCTAGAAATCTCTCCAGCAAGATACGATGCATGAATATTTACCATGTAGGTTTTTACTGAAAGGCAGGTAACACTGGAAGAGAATTGCCTTAGGCTATTGCCGTCTTCTGTGGCTCAGCTTCATCAGCTTGCCCAGTTTGCTGCTTGATAAGATCAACAGTGACAAGAAGCAGTTCCTAAGCAGAGCTACAAGCAGCAACAATACAAAAAGACTTGGTAAAATTTTCAAAAGTTAAAAGTATGACCCTAGAAGGCAAAGAAAGAGCAGGATGATAACAAATCATACTTCCTTGTCAGTTCTGCCCAGGAGACAAAATTATTTGGTGATCAGGGACTTTCATACTCTCCAAGCTGGCAGGGATCAAGGTTATACCTAGAGAAGCATATTTAACGTGAAGATAATGACCATAATGAGATCTAACAACTTCGTTAATACAAAAGGTAGCCGCAGGAGACGGATGTGCCTATCACACAGAGGAGAACAAGGACACACAGCACATCTGCCTCCACATATCTCAAGCACTCATTTCACTTTTTTTTCAACTGCTGGAGGCAGAAGCTTAATCCACAAGGTCACAGTGCCCCCTCAATGACTCACTCAGTAGGTGGGTCATGTTTAGACTTGTGTTACTACAAAAGACAGCACTAACTCTAGTACAGCAAAATGACTGGCGGCCGAAGTTCTCCGTGTGTACAGCTTACGCACAGCACAAAGGCATTTGGCCAATGGGGCAGGTGGATTTATTATTACACCCAATGCTCCACATAAACAAGTTAGAAGACCCTGAATCAGCCGAAAAGAGGCACAGTTTTAGAATTCAGCACAGAGCAAGTGACTTTTCTAACTGGTCTCATGATTCTGAATTCAACATAAGCAAATCCAAAAACACTTCCCACTGACAGCAGCAAGCCAAGGCTACCTGCTCACCCCAGGGAGCGCCACAGCCGGGCCCACTGCACTGAGGATACCAACCATGCTCTTCAGTCTGATCTTCACGCTGCCTTTTCCAGATTGTTGTTGTATGAATTACATTACAAATCTACCACCCCTCAAATTATTTATGACACCTTCAACAGGACAATCTCTAGAGTCTGCTTGTATTGTGGAAACAAGAGAAGGAAATGATACAGAGAGCCATGGGCTTAACACTCATTTTCTTCTTTGATTTCTATACCAATATGTTAGCAGAAAAATAGCAATTCTTGCCAGATTTTTCCATAAATTTTTCTGATGCTATTAAATAAAGTAATCCATTGGGGATGGTAGCAGATGGGGACATGAAACTTGCACTCGAATACTGAAAACAAAGCTTGTCTACATTCAGATACAGGATTTTGGCGTAAGTCAAAACAAAAAGTAAATATATTTTTGTTAATGCGGTGAAATCTATTTTAAAATAAGTGTATGGAAAATGTTACTTTGTATTGTGTATTATCTAATTATAATTTTTCACATCATAAATCAGTTCAGTCCTATACAGAACTATTTTCTAATGAAGTATTTACCGCAAAGAATGTATTGCGTTAAGTGGTGTGAGACCATATATCCCATGTTAATAGCTAGGTTCACCCTCCCAGATCCAACTCCTGACTCCACATTCTTACCAGTGTAGACTATTGGAAGCAATGAAAAAAGATTCAAGGAATTACATCACATGGAGACACGGATTGCACTCTCATTTCTCAGCTCTGGCCCTTGGCCAGCCCAGGCCATTGGAAGGCATTTCAGGAACTGAACAGACAGTTGGGGGTTGAGTAGAACTCTAACACTCACTGGTTCTCTCTCACTCTCTTTTCCTTGCAAATAAAAATCTAAACAAATTTTAAAAGGACTTACACAATATATAATTCATATTCCATTTGGACTCATCAGTGCACACAGGATATGTTAAAACAATTGCCACACTGGGTATGCAAAAGATAGGTTCTGTTTCTGCTTCATTATTTCATGTAAGTTTTTTTTCTTTCTGGGTGTGAATTATAATATACTACATAATTATATGTAAAAGAGGCTAATAGCATCATGACTGTTTCTATGGTAGTTTACAACATATGAAGTCAGGACTGGCATGGTGGCATAGAATCTAATTTATCTGTTAGAGCTGGCATCCCAATATAGGTGCCAGATCATGTCCAGGCTGCTCCAGTTCTAATCCAACAATCTGTTGACAGCCTGGAAAGGCAGTGGGAGGTAGCCCAAGATCTTGGGCTCCTGCAGCCACATGGAAATCTGGGAAGAAGCTCCTGGTCCCCAGCCTTGGATCAACTGAGCTCTGGCACTGCAGCCATTTGAAGAGTTAATCATCAGTTGGAAGGTGCCCGTTTCTCCTTCTCTCTGCAAAAATCTGCTTTTCAAACAAGAAACAAATCTCTAAAATATACAATAAATAGTCATGTACATATGCTATTTTAAATCACAAAAGATTAAAGCTATTCAAGTATCCGCATGTGTATCCAGTTCTTCATACAAAATAGGAAACATTTTTTACGTTTAATATCAAATTGCAATCATTTTAAATGGAAAAGATGTAATTGTATAGCTTCACCTGTAGGAGGCGCATTAGGCATCTAATAATCCACACAACTGTAATTCCAGTTTGCTCTGTTTTTGTCTATGAGCACCCAAAGGTAACATTCAACAACATTTACAAATTCAGAAACAAAGACTGTGTCTTTTCCCTCTTCAGTACAATTGTTTTAGGAAGGCAATAACATTGCCATCATTTCCTATCTCAGTTCAGTCCTCATCCACCAATTGCCTTTGTCTAATCTCTCTTCCTTTTTAGTCTCTATTCTACTGGTAGAGACATTTCAACTAAACCAGATATTCACACTGTAATTAAAAAAAATCCAGACTGTGTATCAGTGCATGATGATTAAACCACTGAGTTTAATACAGAGATCCACCCATGATCTGAACTCAAGCTTCCTATGGCATACATTATTAGGAGCCATCCTGGAAGTTATTTTGCCCTTCCCCTTCTCATCAGAACCTACGTGTAGTTCCAGTGTCTTTAGAAGAACGAGTCTACCCTCTGCCCCCAGGAAGGTCTTGATGAATAGGAGAATGATAGTTCCAGAATGGGCACAGATGCACAAAGTGAAAAAACATTTTAACCCATTTTCAGAACTGAAGCACGCTAGGCCTTTACATACACAAGCTCTTCACATCCCTCTGGACATGAATTAAAAAAATCCAAATCACTAGAAACTACTTTATGCTGACAGAAAGCCATATTTAAGAGCAAGGAGAAACTGAAGAAGCTAGAGCAAGGCAATGAAACCAATTCACAAAGTATTGCAGGTTTAACACATGTATTCTCTACTTGTTCACACAGGCTGGCCTTCATTCCTGAACTTTTGCATTAAAAAACGTCCAGTCCAGATGCTATTTTTAAATCTTTGATTGAACATAATAGCACCTTCAGAGGTGCCAGAGTTCTTCTCTATACACACACAACTTTGTAATATTCAGTTTCAAATATTTATTTCAATACATTATATATAGCAAATGTCACTCAAGTAGGTATGACAGTTTATTCATCCTGTGTTTTGCACAGTAGTTAACACCAAGCACGTAGTCTGTGAGAGATTCTGAATGATATGTAATAACAACCCTCGGAAACTGTGTTGTAGCACTCACATATTAAATCAACAGCACAAAATTACGTTACTGAGTTTGCCAACATATTCATTCAACTTTTGTCACATCCTAATCTCAAACAATTCCTCATCTTTAGAAATTCTCTGCAAGAATGAATAATATGTCTGTATCTTTTCGCTCAATCATGAATTAGTCTAAGTATGGTAAAAATCACCAACACCAAAGGCTAATGTCCTTAATATTATTTCAGTTTGGAAATTCCTCCTGCTGTTGGTTTTCTTGGATGTGGTAGATGTCTATGTGGGGATAACTGACTCTTCCACAAAGCTTGCCTTTTCTTGAAGAACTAACACCCACGTGTGAGCCCCAGTCATCTTTCTTACTCTGTGGAACTCGAGACCTTGCCTATAGTTGAACAATACCAGATCTGTCAGTAGGTTTCCTATGTAGGATTTTCCATCAGTGAAAATTTACTGCAACTTTACAATAGTATAAGTAAATCTACACAGGAAAAAAAACTAGAACAGTTATATTCTTAGCAGATTTAACTCTTTCCCTTCATGACCTGGAAGGGGGAGGGGGAGAATGAAGAACAGCCCCAAACACGCCAAGGAACTTGGTCGCCAAATTCAATTTAAAAGGGCATTTCTGATCTATTAGCCTTATTAATTATCTACTTTCCTTCTATGTAATCAACATATCTTATTTTAGACAATACTTTTAAGCTTTTGGCTAAGTCCATCTAAATCAGTAATCAAGTGCTTAGCTTTGACCTAACCAGTAGGGGTCAGAGTCAGAACAAAAACAGTCTAATGAAGGATTCCACAGAAAGACCTCAACTATGTGTATGTGAAAAACCAACTACTTGCCAAACTACAGAAGAACATAGAAATTGCAAACATTTCAATGAAAATATACAGTGTATTGTTTTTTTTTATCTTGCCTTAAAGGTTACTCTTAAAAAGATGTAAAAAGGAAACATGGGCACTTTAAAAAAATGACATGATTTTAACCAAACAAAATGAAACAGAAAAATGAGTTTATAACCCTGGAGCTGGATGAGTAAAGTGCAGGTGTGCATAGCAAGGCTTTGCACAGTACTAACCATTTTCCATGTTTGGATTAAGAGCAAATTCAGCGGATCCTGCTTCTGCACAGTCGTCTGCTGAAAACATTTTTTTCTGGAACTGACTTACCTGTTACCTCAGTCTTTATTCCTGCAAGCTTCAAGAGAGGTTCAACCTTCTCGTAATAAACCTGGGCAGCTCCTTTCCTGTGCCTCTGAGGGTTGAGGAGTATTTGTAATGACTTCGGTCTGTTGGAAAAGCCTAAAAAGAAAACAAAGGCTACAGCACATGGTCGGCAAGTTTTCGTTTCCTTTTCAAATGACTCGCATGTCTGTCAGGATGTTATACACATGTATTTAGTGTTCACTAGTTTTATTTCAAACATTCCTGCTTTTCCAACATAATATAGATATATCCTATTTAACATAAGTGATTTGTAATAAAGCACTTTATTTATGAAGGAAGATTTAACGAAAGCAACTCTGCAGTAATGAGGCAGAAATTACATATATACACTAAATCCAAAAAAAAAAATCTGATGTTCCTTTAGCACTTTGTTCTTGGGGCGGGGGAAGGGGAAGCACAAGAGACTGTAACAAATAGATGGGTACATTTCTCTTTAGATAAACATGCTTATTATTCAAAATGGGTACCCCCATGACCCCAGGGCTTCCAAAGTCTGACCTGCTGATGAATTCAGGGCAGAAGAGCAAGCCTGGACGAGCTGAAGACAGCACCCAGGACAAGGCATGGTGGTAACTAAAAAGATGGTTTAGGTCAGAGTTCAAAGCTGAAACGAGGCCAGGGGAGAAAGGACTCCTCTCCTGGGGCTCGGGAAAGCGAGGTCTCTCAGCAGGGACTCGCTGATAGCACTGCTTCACAGTTGGGGCTGAGATTTGATACTACAATTTCCTGGGCTTACAAGATGCTTATCGCTCAGGACCCAGTTGGAGCAGGTGCAAAGCAAATTTTCAGTTGTTAGGAAGGGGCAGCAGGGACAAAGAAGCCAAAGGGAAGCTGACAACAATTTCTCTTTCGACAAACTGCTCTCAGAGAGCCGTTAGTTACTGCCGTTAGTAACTGCCGAAGCAGTTACTGATGCCCACTTCTAATAAAACCATGACTAGTTGCAAATGTGAAATATCCATTGCACCAAGTCAGTATTTTTATACCTCAAGTGAGACAACATTTCATTTCTCAACACACTGAACAAAATCCATTGCACATATGTTTTTGAATTCAGGAAGAGTTAGAGAAGCACCTGCAGCCATGCTGAATATTTAAACATTGCCTGTAAAACTGTGCAGGTCTGTCTGTTTGGGAAGAAGCTCCTGCCAGCCTCTCAGTAACCCTGGCTCAATACTTCAAAACCATGCTCAGTGCCTTCTCCCCCGCCTAGGTTCTAGTGAACGGTCCAATTTCTATGGCCATGCCACAGGGTGAACCTTTGCTCTTCTCTCACCCTTCTGCTGCATGCTCTAGCACCACAGTTTGGACAGCAACACACTGTTTAAAAAGCCGCCACCACCGTTCTTTACTGCCTGGAATCCAGCCTGGAGCCTTTGGAATGACTCTGAGACGCCTCCCCAGCCCAACTCCTTCCCTTCTCCCTCCGTTTCTCTCCTGCCCCTCTTCAGGAAACCTGTATTGAATATTTGTGCTAAAAATTGGGAAGGGCAAAGTGATGGGGCTAAGGCCCTTGCTTTAGGAGAGGAACAGAGAGACCACAAATACCCAAGAAAAGCACAAAGCAGTATAGAGTGGTATAAACTTAGCAGGCACAGAAAGAGTGCTGGGTACAGTTAGAAGGATGGTTAGTTTTATTAGGATCTGGATACAATTTCAAGAAGAAATTACTAAAGTGGGAATTTGGGCTCATGGGATTTTCAGCACCCAGAATCTCCTCCCATCCCTTCCTCAAAACAGCTAGTGAAGGACACAGGAGATAAAACTGGGCAGTAAGAACAATTTGAGCAAATGCATGAAGCTATGAAAATCCAGGTGGCTATTATGGTCTCTTTCAAACACCTCATGATGGTGCAGCCTCTATGTATTATTATTGTTTAAAGCCAAATCAGGTCTTTCCTTGTTCAGGCAGTTTTTTTTTTCTTTCCTTTCCACTTCATCCCCATCGCCACTTTTCCAAAGTTTTCTCCAAAGTTTCACCAAACCTGCTCATTGGCACCTTTGTTCATCACAGGCAAAATTCATCTCGCTGGTTGGTTTGTTTCTACTTTATTCCATTTGCCTTGCAATCTGTTTTGGCATATCTTTTGTACCAAAAATCTAATAAAAACCCAGTATCCTGAGACTTCCACACAAATCAATCCTGGTCAAATGTAAAAAGCTAATATAATGATAGGAAAGTACTATTCTGAATTTTTAAACACCATGAGTAACACTGACATTAAGCAAAAGGCACAAAGGAAAAAACATGTTCTATAAAATAATAATTATTAAAAACAGAAGACATCATACAGTGAGAAAATCATCATATTCAAGCTGCTACAAGATTCAGGACTGCATGCTTAAACCATCTAGTGATAGTCAGTTGAGGACAAAGTATTTACATATTAAACCCAAGCTCTTTTCATTACTGTAATTACCAAAGGTTGAACCCTTTAAAGGAGATAGCAATTCAATGCAATCTGCGAGTCTGGTTCAGGTCAAAACAAAATATCATAAAGGACAATAGTGCTAGCCTTTAATAAGGAAGGACTAAAAAGGTAAATCCAAAGCTTATTTTTATTAAAATAGGACAGAGACCAAAAAAAAAAAAAGCTCCAAATCCCAACAACCTAGAGACAGATTAAATATCCAGATAGAGTTTACAAAGCCCAGTACATTTTCAGAACAGCCTACCTATTTGTCAAACAAGGGCAGACCAAGGAAGGATCGTGTTATTATAAAAGTTCTACTTATATTTTTTCCTCTTCCTACTTATATTCATTTATTTCCAAAGAACTACATTCCTGCTTTGTTGCAGGTCCAGTTATAGAAATTCTTTCACTTAGTACCCAAGAGTAGCCTCTGTCATTACGAAGCTTTCATTCAGATTACAGTAGCCAAAAATAAAGAAGTGAGTTTATAAAAGGCAAAGTTATGATACGTTGTAAAGACAGGAATGAACTCAGTAGTGAAAAAGGTAGGTGTGAGGCGGGGGAGGGCAATCCTGAAAAAGGCTTTCTCAGATCATCCAGAGTCTTACAGGCATTTTCAAAGGATGCTGGGTTTCGTTGAGTAGCAGAAATGCCGTGAATGTTGATTTACATAGCAACATCATCATAGGTGTTAAACCATCATTCTGATAACTGTATAGAAACTAGATGAAGCTAGGGCCAAGGTCTGACAAACCTCAAAACCCTCGCAATATTCCAAGTAAGAAATGAGTGTGCTTGTGCTGGGATTCTGAAAAAAGTTAGCTTCTGGATTTTAAAGGTGGAATTAATCTGTGTTTTTGTTTTTTAATATGGGACATGAAAGAGCAGAGTCAAGGAGTAGCAAAGAGTGTGACCAGGTACAGTGAGAGGAGAAGCTGTGTAGAGGTCCAGCATGACCTGACTGCTGTCATTTTGGTACATAGACACACTATTCCCATATAGGTGATCCTGACAGTTAACCCTTCTCCTATAACATAAAAAGTTAAGATAACCTGCCCAACATGCCATGTCAGGCACCAACTCCCACAATGTCTCTTACCTAACACCTGGTGTGTTCTGGGGGATGTATACACACACTGGTTAGACATAAACTACCTTAACTGTCTTTGCGTATAAACCATCTTTAGCCCTGAGATGTTAGTGGTCCTCTCATCTTGCAGCCACCCAACACAGGTCCCTACTGAGTAAAATTCTATGCAATTCTGGATTGTTTGTCTTTTTCTTCTGCTTCTGGTGCCTTTTGCATTTGGCAACCACTTCTTATACACTTCTTAAATAAAGGGTTTTCCTGAAAGTAGCATGATCTCTAATTATGGTCTCGCTGGGGTTGAAGAATCTTGGGAGTTGGGTTAATAGATCAAGTGAACTAGGAAGATTTATGGCAATAGGTTGAAGACAGGATAATTGAAAACAAGATCAAGAGTTATTGATGATGACCATAAGATCTGATTAATGATCATAATCATTAGAACTGCCTTAGACTCTGAAAAAACACTGCTTCTGGGCATAAAATCCAGATACTTGGTTTCAGCAATCTTAAGTGGGCTTCAAGAGCTCACACTTACCATAGGTTATCAGATGCTGCTGTGGGTCTAAGAACCACACTTGCAGAACCACTGTTCTATAAATACACTAAGGGAAAATGTGGATGAGGTAAGTTTGGGTCAAGATTTTTGAAGGATACAAGACTACAACCTAAGAGAACATCTGAAAGCAGAAATGTATAGAGTTGCAAGGCAGTGTTTGCACAAAGTGTGAGATAGGAATTCAAGTCTTCAAGGATTATTAAAGAATCTCACTATACAGGAGTGGCTAGAAGCACCTGATGCTTTGAGCTTTGATGCAAAGGATTAAGACAAAACAAAAAATGATCTCCAAACAGCAGTGAAATGGAAGACTTGAAATTATTTCCATAAGCTCGTGGGATAATACTCGAATCATACGGCAGAGAAAGCAGCTATCACTGGAGAGAACATTATGGGAAGCTATGTCTGGCTACCAAAATAGGAGCATGAGAAGAAATGCTGGGTAAATGGCTGAAGCTATAGGTTTTGTTAAGAACAGATTACCCATTCCAGATGGAGAGGACAAGATAGTGTCAGATTGGGAGAAGCAGGAAAAGAGTAGGACAGAATCTTAGGCATTGAGAGTGGTGTGAAAGGGGTAAGAAACGATTTTAGCCATTAGAGTTATTGAGTGTGAAGGTGGTAGGTGAGCAACCCTTGCCCCCAATGACATTTTCTTTATTGTCTTTTGTTAATTTGCTATTTTCATAATACAGATTTGTAGACATAGGTTCATCCTTCCCCTCTCCCATCCCGTTTTTCCCCTCCCACCATCTGACCCCATGTTATCACAATAGCATCGTGTCTTCGTAGCCTACTTTGCTGTTGGTGGGAGTGTGGACTAGCACAAACACTGTCAAAGTCCGTATGGAGAGTACTCAGACAACTGAAAACTGATCTGCATTATGACCCAGCCACGCCACCCCTAGGAATATATCTAAATGAAATCAAATCTACATTTGAGAGAGCGAACTGCAATGTATGTTCACAGCAGCACAATCCACAATTGGACTTGCTTTATTGTAGCCAATGTCAA